ATTGTTGAATGATCGGACCGAGGACAGCGCTGAACTAACCTTCTTCTTTAATATCTTGAGTCCTGCAACGGCAAGACAGTTAGAGGCTCTGCATATTTTAGAAGCAGCCAACAAGCAGAAGGAGATGGGAAGCCAAAACCTGGCTCAGTTCTTTATTCCACTCCTTGAGCACTTCATTTTTGGTCGCGCTGATGGAGTTGATGACCATGGACTTGGCGCTCAAGCAATTATCACCATCGGTAATCTCGCAAGCTCTCTGCACTGGAAACACTATCGTACCACTCTCCAAAGATACATCGGCTATGTTGAAGCCAAGCCCGAACAACAGAAGCTAACAATTCGACTTTTAAGCAAGGTCGCTGATGCACTTGTCGACGCAGCTGAAAACCAGCCGCAGGAGCGTATGGAGATTGATGAGGTCGATGCATCGTCATCAGCCACCACCAGACTCCCCCTTACTATTCCGACGGCAGAGAAATTGAGCGTCGAGGTTACTAATACCTTCCTGCCCACGCTTGTCAAGCATCTCCATGAAAAGGACGAGTCGGAAGTCAGCTACCGTGTCCCCGTTGGCGTGATCATTGTCAGACTTCTGAAGTTGCTGCCCTCGGAGCAGATGGACCAGAAATTGGCTGGTGTCTTGACTGATATTAGTCACATTCTTCGCAGCAAGTCTGTCGAAGCTCGTGACATGGCTCGAGACACATTAGTCAAGATTGCTGTTATCCTCGGCTCCTCCTACTTTGGCTTCATCCTGAAGGAGTTGCGAGGAGCTCTTACCAGAGGTTACCAGCTCCATGTGCTTTCATACACCATGCACTCCATTCTGGTCGCAATCATCCCCATCTGCTCTCCTGGTGATTTGGACTATTGCCTTACCTTTGTCGTAACGGTCATCATGGATGATATCTTCGGCGTCATCGGCCAAGAGAAGGATGCTGAGGGCTATACCACCCAGACCAAGGAGATCAAGAGCAGCAAGAGTCAAGACTCGATGGAGCTTATAGCCAAGAACGCTTCGATCAGTCGACTTATCGAACTGGTCAAGCCACTACGTGCACTTCTGATGCAAAAAGTTGATCTCAAGATGGTTCGTAAGCTTGATACCCTGATGGCGCGTATTACAGCCGGACTTCTGCAAAACCCTGCTGCCGAGACCCGCGATACCCTCGTTTTCTGCTATGAGGTCATTCAGGACGTCTACAATTCTCAAAAGCCTGAAGTCGAAGAGAAGCTGGACCCTCGAGTTAAGAAGTATCTTGTTCAAAAGGGCGCGAAGAAGAGCGGCGATCGAGGCAAAACTACTAAGCACACGTACAAGCTAATCCGCTTCGCGGTGGACATTCTGAGGGCAATACTGAAGAAGCACGATAGCTTGCGAACCCCTACCAACATTTCCGGATTTATTCCCATACTCGGCGATGCTATGGTTGGTGGAGAGGACGAAGTGAAGATCTCAGCGTTCCGGCTACTCGCTGTCATTGTCAAAGTGCCATTCCTTGACGATGAGGGATCCAAGTTGTACAAGGTTGCAGTGAAGGAAGCAACCAAGAGCATCTCCATGGCAGTATCTACCACAACCGACCTATCTCAAGCAGCTCTGAAAATGCTTGCTGTTGTCCTTCGAGAGCGTCGTGATGTTGTCGTGAAGGATGCAGCGGTTGATATGCTCCTTGCCAAGTTGAAGGACGATCTCACTGAACCCCTTTATCGCCATGTCACATTCAATTTTCTGCGGTCGGTTCTGGACCGACATCTGGAAACCGCTGCCGTTTACGACACTCTGGACTACGTTGGCACAGTTATGATCACCAATGATGATAAGGACACTCGTGACCTTGCTCGAGGCGCCTTTTTCCAATTCATCCGTGAATATCCTCAGAAGAAGGCTAGGTGGGCTAAACAACTGAACTTCATTGTTGCCAATCTCAAATACGAGCGAGAGGGTGGCCGGCTATCTGTCATGGAGATTGTCCACCTGCTTCTCATGAAATCATCAGATGACTTCGTGCAAGAAATCTCCTCCACATGTTTCCTTCCACTATTCTTTGTCCTCGCCAATGACGACAGCGAGAAGTGCCGAGTTGCAGCTGCTGGACTACTAAAGGAGATATTCCGCAAGGCTGACAAGGAGAGGACTCAAACTTTCCTCGGACTTGTGCGAACATGGCTAGATCAGGACGGAAACGAGGCAGTTCTCAAGCTTGCCTTCCAGGTTTTCGGCTTCTATCTAGAGTCCGACGAAAATGCATCCAAGAACAAGAAGGATTTCAAGCTCGTTCTAGGAAAGATCACTAGCGTCATTGAGGTGGAGGATATTCGAGGGGCTGACGGAGAACTTTTGGAGGCGGCACTTGAAGTCATCCGGGTCTCGTTGTCTGTGTTCCCTGAAAAGATTCTGTCAAGCAGTAGCGAGAAAATGTGGTCCAGCATCTTGAGATGCCTGTCACATCAATCGACTTCGGTCAAATTGTCATCTATTGGACTGACAAGCTCATACCTGGCTGATTTTGCTCAGCAAGCCAGTGATGTAGCGGTTGGCGAAGCAGTGGTTGGCAGCCATGGACTTACACTTGATTTACCCAAGGTCCAAAATCTGGTGAGACTTGGTTTAGGTGTCCTGGCGACCCGAGACATTGACGAGAAGCTTGGAGCGGAAGCTGTCCAGGTCCTTGCTTTCTTGGCTCCTCGCCTCCCTCTCCGGCCTGTAACTGAAGGTGAGAGGTCTGACGATGTCGAGCAAGAGCAGCAGGATGAGGAGGAAGAGCACGAAGAAGAGGGGGGAGAGCAGGTTGAGGAGACACAACGAAAGACCGATCTTCAACATCTGTTCTGGAAGATCTCTCACATTATTCGACGAGAGATCCCCCCTAGGGCTGTTGCCATCACACCAAAGGTGGCTGCGATGGAGCTTCTTGAAACGGTTTGCCGGAGATCTTCAGCCGATCGCCTGCGACCATCTTTCAAGACTATCCTCGTACCCCTTCACAATCTTACTGACCCCTCCATTGCACCACCTTTCTCCAACGATGAACTCTTCAAGACGAAACATGAGGCTCTCAAGACAAGAGCCCAGATCCTCATGGATTCCCTGCAGAAGAAATTTGGTACGGCTGAGTACTCGAAGCAGCTTCTTGCTATTCGAGAGGAGGTGAGGGCCAAGAGAGAGCAGCGTTCAAGTAAGAGAAAGATTGAGGCACTGGCACAACCGGAGAAGTACGGAAGAGATAAGAGAAAGAAGTTTGAGAAGAACAAGGAGCGCAAGAAGACTCGATCAAAGGAGCAGAAGGTCATGCGAGAGTCTTTCAAGCGGTGGTGAGGATGATGGACGACGTTGCATCAACTGGCGTTAGGGATTTGTGTCATTAGTTAGATTGCTTCTCGGCGTCATGATCTGGACATAGTAAAAGTCATTTGTAGAAGAAGACGAATTGAAAATTTAGCCATTATCTGTCGCAACTTATTCTTTCTCTCCACACGATGGTCTTCCGTCAATTGGAGCAATATAATTCTGATGCATCAGTCATGTATAAGCCAGACTACTACTCCGTATCTTTCTTGGGGCTTCCAATCCAAGAATCGGATATCGGCCTCTGCATCAGTCATCAGCACCCCAGTCTCTATCCGACGTCGGGGAACGTTGGTACGGAATCTTTACACGAAATGACGTCTTGTGCTGAGACTACGACTCTGTGATTATCGGCATGTTTGAGCTAAACAAGACATTCGGAATTCCGACCGCTCAGCATCGTTGAAGATCGTCATAGTTAGGAACTCCGAGTTTCCACTCCGGTCCATCTTGAACAAATACATGAAAAGGGGCTTCATAACGGATTGATTCCGGATTAAATAAATCATAATGCAACATAGGTCTTCCTAGACAAAACTCAAAACTCATCAGAACTACATTCCCTCCACTGAACAAGTCAATCATGGGCTCACGAGGAGAAGATGTCTATAAATCTATCACTGCGGGGAAACTGTTACGCCAAAGGATAGAAGCGGGTGATTTCATCCTTGCTCCTGGTGTATACGATGGGTTCTCTGCGCGCATTGCGCTCGAGGTTGGATTTGATGTCCTGTACATGGTTAGTCTGCTATGATGTGCTATCAAAGCTTCGACTGACGAGTATAGATAGACTGGAGCAGGAGTCACAGCATCCGTTCACGGATGTGCTGACCTAGGGATCGCAACACTGAACGACATGCGGCGGAGCGCAGAAACGATCGCCAGTTTGTCACCATCTACGCCTGTTATTGCTGACGCGGACACCGGATACGGCGGACCAATCATGGTGGCACGTACGGTTGAACAATATTCGCGCTCAGGTGTCGGGGCGCTACATATCGAAGACCAGGTGCAGACCAAGCGATGCGGCCATCTCGCTGGAAAGGTCCTGGTGGACTTGAAGGAGTATGTGGTCCGTATACGGGCTGCCGTGCAAGCACGTCGAAGGATTGGAAGCGATATAGTCATCATTGCACGGACAGACTCCATCCAGAAGCATGGATATGAAGAAGCACTGGAACGGCTCCGTGCTGCACGCGATGCTGGAGCTGACGCTGCTTTCCCTGAAGGTCTTCGATCGGTCGAGGAATCGCGGCAGATGATCGTAGATCTCGCACCATGGCCAGTATTACTGAACATGGTGGAGAATAGCGTCACGCCGAAGCTCTCAGCTAAAGAAGCAAGGAACTTGGGGTTCAGCATGATGATCGTGCCTCTGGCTACACTGGCGCCGGCTTACACTGCAGTCAAGGCTGGTCTGCAAAAGCTGAAGGAAACCGGTTCAGCAGATACAGAGCTTACACCACAGGATCTATTCCGGGTTTGTGGGCTCGATGAGTCGATGATGGTTGATGAGGAGGCTGGAGCATCTAACTTTGAAGGTGGCGTGGACTGATGCGTTTTAAGATGCCATGCTACACTCAAGGGTGGCTACCAAACCATCTTGCATAGAAGACGTTGTATATAGCTCCTCGAAGCACCTGTGCTTTCTTTACCCAATATAATCAATATTCAGAGGGAAGTTCCAGTCCATATAAACCTCGGGGAGGTTGGATAATCCGAAGCTGTCGCCTACAGGCGCAGCTGTCGAGTTCCAAAACGTGCTGGCATCTGTGTCATCCGACTGACCAGGTTCTGGCGCAGTGTTGTCCGTGTCGTATGGGCTGCCTTGCCCGTTGTATTCGACTCGCCACCACCAAAGAGAGTCAAAGACGACGCTCATAAACTATAGCAGTTAGGTGAGTAGACCTGGGGAACTTTCTCTTGCACGTACCAAACGACTACGGATCCTCAGATCCAACCCATTGGCTGTAGAAGTATCCATCGAATCGCTGTTTGACCACAACTGGGAGAGGATCGTCCCATACCTCTCATCCAGGTCACCGTGTTGCATGGAACGCCTCTTGACGAATGAAATCGCCTTGAAGAGCGACTGTTGAGCATCACGCAGGTCAATGTGCTCTTTCAACTGGCTACGGACTATTCGTAGGATGCAGAACGCCGCTAGCAAGGCCATGCGGGTATAGTAGTTTGAAGCATATAACGCAAAGTCCTGCATAGCATCTAGGCGAGACACGACATCAAGAACTTCTGTGGCTGTTGAAAAGGTTGTGATCAGGCCTGGTTTCTTAAAGTCATGACTTCGTAGGAAGAAGTAGTAGGCTGATATTGCGAGACGGGTACAGCAACGGGTAAGGTAGCCTGGTAAGTCAGTCAAATTTAATACGGTTAAATGACACTTAACTTAAGGTTGGCTCGCACATACATAAGTCATCACGGAGAGGAAGTGGGATGGCTTCCACTTGTTCACTAAAGATCCTGATTAGCGGTGGCAACGACTTACTGCCCTCGCCCTGCTCGTTTATGATGTCGCCAAATGCTCTAGTGGCATCAATCAAGATGTCATGGCACTTGATGCGGTAATGGAATGAAGCGTCCACAATCTCCTCGAGCCTAGCTTTCCTCTGGTAGGGCTTGGACTCGGAGATAGAAAGGTGTGGGAGGCCATCACACAGGCTGGTACTGTTCATCTTGAGCGAGTACCATAATTTTATAGACAAGAGAACTTACGCTTGGAAAACTAAACAACAGTTGAGCCACAGATGAGCCCTCATATCTCTCATCTCTTTGGATAAAGAAGTATGCGTCCGTGCAAAGTCTTGCTCGTGACCATCGACGAAGAGCCCATTCTGGACAGCGAGCGAATAGGCTGTGCCTGCATACACATGTGAAGGGTCTTTCCACATTGTGTCCACTGGAAGAGGCCAGAGGCAAAGAATCAGGGAGCTTTTTATAATGGGAATAGGGCTCGTAATGTGTAAAAGGGGCTGGAATGTTCCGCCTCTGATGTGTTGAGCAGCTATCTGGTGCAGCTTCGTGGCATGCTCCAAGTGCCTGACACCTGTGACAACTATTGTCCAAAACAAGAGGGAAGACTCTTTGAAGCACGATTCGCAGTTTACATCGTCTTCACTGAAGATCCCAGGCAGAAGCTTGCTATAGTGGCTGAAGAACCTAGCAATTTCAGTTGGCGATCCATTTACTGCATGTGGTGGGATACAACACTTACCGAGCAAAGCAATCGTCTATCTGTTTTACCGCAATGTCCTCTCGGCGCAAGATTTCAGAAAGAGATAAAGATCGGTCTGACTGTACAGCATATGATGGACCAATTTCAGGAGATGGCTCAGTAGCGGTAAACATCAAGGCACTGCTTGAAGTGCCTACAGCCGTACGATCAGACCGGGCTGGCGAAGCGTCTATAGTAGCCTCTGGAGCTTCCACTATATTGTTGCATTCTATACGCATGCGTTTGCAACGTGAACATGGCTGTCCGGGGTGCTGGTACAAGTCGCACCTCAGCTATAAGCCATGAATTAGCAAATCTCAATTATCCTAGGCCCAAGGAAGTCTTTTAACCTTCTGTCGCCTGCAACGAGCACAGGCTTTCATGCGACTTGTCATATGCATGATTTACTCCTCTGAAACTAGTAGTCAGAGACAGTACGACAAGGGTCGTCGTGTTGCCCGAACAGTTGACTTGTTGCTTATGGAGTCGGAGTCAAGAGATGGAACAACTTCCCCACGATCCGCCGGCATTAGTTTGTGGATGTTCGGAATTCCGACTGCGGGTTCTTCGGCAGATCGACGCGGGGGTTTAAGTTTCCGGCATGAATTGTTTTTACTAGAAACTAACTAGAGCATGAAGAAGCGGAAACTTTATTATTCCCAATCCAACGTCCATGTAAGTACATAGCACAAGAAGTGGAAGTCATAGCTGAATATCGTTCTGGGCTTAACCATATCAATCAGCTCAAACAACATATCGGAACCCCCTTGGATGATCATCGCCTTCCATTCCTACACCAGGATCCTCAATCATCACTCTGTCCAGTCGCTTATTCTCCCAGCAAAGTAAAAGCGAGTAGGTTATGCTAAGTAGCACGACCAAAGAGGTAAACCCGCAGGAGATCCAAGCACCCTTGTGATAGTAGGGTCCCTGGTCTTTGGGGAATATGTTCGTGCCAACCAAGGGCCCAAACTGGCCCAGCGTAGCGAATATTGCCCACCCACCGGCGCGCTTGCTCTCAGTGTGGTGTACGCTCGAAACCCACGGAAGCAGAATGCTGATACTGACAAAGATTTGTACACTGAGGAAGACTCCCGCGTATCGAGCAGCAACCCCCTCGGAAACACCGAGAAGGCAGTATCCCACTGTTGATACAATCGCAGCAGCGGCCACAAAGGGTCCACGCAGCTTCGCACGGTCGCTGGCAAAAGCACATGCTAGAATTGTGATAAAGCAGAGAGCGTATGGGGGAGCGGACAGTCCATTGCTTTCTTGGTGGTTGAACGTGCCCATTTCGGAGATGATAGTCGGAATGAAGAGAGGCAGCGAGCCGAAGCACACGTTGCAGGAGAAGTACATCAAGCCTGGCACATAACCTAACACAACCATTCATCAGCCTGAGCAAGTAAAGAATAATGGAACTACTCACTCCGCCAGTCCAAGAATGCTGAACGCCATTCAGCCCAGCTGACCCCTCCCGCGCCCCCTGAGTCGACGGTTTGTCCCCGTCCAACACACTGCCAGGCAACTTCTTTTTCTCTGTCGGTAAGAAATTTGGCACTGAGCAGGTCGTCCGGGAGATAGAACCATGCTAGGATGGCAACGATCCATACTGGTAAACCTTCAATGAGGAACAGGCATCGCCATGGCGCAACTGAGCCCCGAATACCCAGAATAGCATATCCCAAAACGCCTCCATATGCGTTTGCAAGGGCAGAGCCAGAGAGGAAGATGCCCTGGCGGAAGCCAACTTTGTCTCTGGGGTAGAAGAAGGACAGATATAAAGGCACACCGGAAAACATGCCTTCGAAACAACCGAGCAGCACACGCAAGACGACCAGACTGGCGTAATTGGTGACGGCGGCTTGACATGCTGATATGGTCGAAAAACCTATAGCAGAGAAGAAAACCCATTTATGTGGAGGAAATCGTTTGAAACCGACGGCCGTCCACTGAGAACAAATATCTGTTTTCTTATCAGCGACACGAACCTGGCCACTCCTGTTGGTTCAGTGACTCACATGCGATATAGAAAGCCGTTCCAAGCCAGTCGTAACGTTTGCCCTCCAAGTTCACAGAATCTGTCAATCCTGCAAGACGAGCATTGCCCAAGTTACTGCGATCCAAGTTGGAAAAAGTGTAGACCAGGAACAAGAGAGGCAGAATATGGAAATCAAGCTTGCGCATGACTGCCTTCTCCTCAGCCTCTGTAACAAGAGCCATTCTGTCGCCAGTGATAGGACTTCTTTGCTCTGTCACCCTCTCAAAGGTATCCTGCTGAGCCTTTTCTTCAGACATGATAAATCGTTAAGGTCTTGATAGTATTTGCCTTGATACGTGCGTAATACCAGACAGTTTCTTGAAAGAAAAGCTGGGTGACCTACATCAAACTCCCTTGCCTACACTCGCGGTTTTAATACTTCCACAACCTGAAAGCAGGGCGGGCTATGTGAACCTTCAGTAGCCTCGAGGATCTGTCGGGGGTGGCATGGACGCAGTCAGAGGGTGAGATACACTTCGGAACTCCGATGTTGACTCTCCAGTGTAGGCGCATGGCCCCCGGAAATCAGCATCCGTCTATTCAGCCGTAGTGATATAATCAATTCCCACTGTACGTGGTAATCCCAAAGTTCACTAGGAATGGCCCGGTTCAGAATGCAACCATAGCATTAAAGGTGATCTCGGGCCTCCGTGTGGCTTCTTCTTGTTAGCCCGCCTGAGTACGTAGCTAATGCGTTGTTCGGAATTCCGATCGAAACCGTCATGACATTTGTGTAGACTTCGAACTAAGACGGCTCCGATGCCTTTGACTTGATGAGCCAATCAGGGAGGAAAGTCTGGGAATCTCGTTGAATGCTAAATCTCTCCGCAAAGAGGTCATGTATAAGATGCTCAAGTGACCTAGGACAGTGATGTCCTTTTATCTACTCGTACATCTACCAGCGACTTCAGCATGAGTGAACCAGAACCAAAGTCATCAAGCCCGACGGTGCAACTGTCACAATGGGTTTCAAAGCTGAACCTGGATGACATCCCGGACCGAGTGCGTACTCGAGCAAAATACCTAATTCTCGATGGGCTGGCGTGCGCATTCGTCGGATCTCATCTACCTTGGTCTGAGACGGCAGCGCAGGCGATCCTCAACCTGGAGCCAACACAGGGAGACGCCTCGCTCATCGGGTGGGGAGGACGCAAAGTTACCGCTCTCACTGCCGCGCTTCTAAATGGAACCTTTATCCAGGGTTTCGAGCTGGACGACTGGCACAGCGAGGCTCCCCTTCATTCGAACAGCATCATTCTGCCAGCTCTGCTTGCCGCTGCAGAACAAGCCAATGCACAAGCTTCCCGCTTCACAACCTCCGGACAAGACTTGCTTCTCGCGACTATTGCAGGCTACGAGACAGGGCCACGTGTAGGCCGTTCTCTCTGGGGTACACATGTTCTCTCATCAGGCTGGCATTCTGGAGCAGTCTTCGGACCTGCTGCTGCCGCCGCCAGCGTCAGCAAGCTTTACGGGCTCGATGCGGAGACGATCGAGGATGCTTTTGGGATAGCATGTACCCAGTCATGTGGTCTCATGTCTGCCCAGTTCGAGAGCGACGTAAAGCGCATGCACCATGGGTTTGCAGCACGGAACGGTCTTCTGGCTGCTGTCTTGGCACAAGGCGGCTATGTTGGTATCAAGAAAGTCTTTGAGCGCGAGTACGGAGGCTTCTTGAAACAATTCAGTTCTGGAAATGGAAAGCAACCTCAATACCGACTGGAGGAGTTGACGAGCGAGCTGGGAACCAAGTGGCAGACCGAAGGCATAAGGATCAAGCCGTACGCAGCGATGGCAGGCACACATCCTAGCATTGACTGTATCCGCCATCTCCAGGAGCAACATCCCGATAGGCTGAAGAGGTTCGACGAGATAAAGAAGATCGACATCCTTCTTGGCGAAGCTGCTTTCCATCACGGAGGCTGGAAAGCCGTTAAACCTCTTACAGCAACGGGAGCTCAGATGAGCAACTCGTTCACGGCTGCCACACAAATTGTTCATGGACAAGTTTTGATGCCACAGTTTACCCCTGAAATGCTCGTTGATAAGGATGTTTGGAGACTTGTCGATCTCACCGAGTGTAAGCTCCATATTACTGATGGCGACTCAATCGGCTGTCAAGAAGTGAGGATTATGTTTGAAGACGGGACGGTCCTACATCACGGTGTGCCGAATGCATTCGGCGTGGATCCACCCCTGTCTAATGAAGATATAGTGGACAAATGGAGGCAACTAACCAAAGGCATTGTTGAGAATGAAGTTGTAGCAAAGATTGAGGAGATAGTGTTGTCTTTGGAGGAGCAGGATGATCTTGTAATGCTTTTTGAGCTCATCCGTGAAACATCGAAGAATCCGCTGGCCAGATAGAGCTACACTATGTTCCATAGGCGGTGCTTGCAACAATTAAATATATAACGGACTGGCCCTAAAAGAAAGATATTCTTGATGCAAGGACTGTTAGACTATCGCAATGCGCTAGTAGTGGTCCACTGGCCACAGAGGTACTGTAGTCTGTCATGATTTCATCTCCGGGTGGGTGACTGGCCTCTGAACCATGCTAGACATGACATGGAGTTTGCAAAGGACGACATAGTGTTGGCTTGTATTGTACTATAAAGCTCATATAAAAACTATAGAATAACACAATGCGTCAGTTTAGAACAACTCTGATGTTCAAGAGTATAGTATCATTATTCAATATTACTCAAAGCCTAAGGTAGAGGAGAACAAGCTTGTTTTAATTCCAGGAATAGTATATCTTCAGTCCCGGGCCCTCAGTGAAGGGTATCCATCAACGCCACCCAATGCTTTTACCCAACCTGGGCATTGTACAAACCTCGCTTTTGTACTCTATTGTTACATCCCTTTAGCCACATGCCATATGCCATCATGAGCTCTCGCTTTTACCAGCTTGAATGTCTGCGGGAAGAGATTCCTCTGGCCAAAACTCAATATCGCCGTCCTCGCCTAAACTTCCCCTCTTCACAAGACGACCCTTTTCCCTCATAAGGTCTTCGATAGTGACTTTCCTATCACCAAAGATGTTCAAGTGGTCGCTGATGACATGTCTGTTCCTGCACTCGGGACATGTGATGAGCGTAGAGCCATAATGGTAGCCCTGCTTAGAGACATTGTGGTGAGAGCGATGGCCGCATGGAATGCACGTAAATGATAATTGGTAGTGCGACGCCTTGATCTCGGGCCTTTCTCCTTCGCTTTTGGGCGTCTCGCCAGTTTGCGCCTGCTCAGGGTTCGGTCTGGCGTACGTTTGGGTAGGTGGTCGTGGAATGTTATGCGCAGCGCGGAAAGACTGGAGGTTTGTAGTGGCAGGACGAATGAAAGGAGCGCGCAGGAATGGTGAGGAGCGCTGCGGTTGCTTTGGAAGCTGGCGCAGGACTTTGGAGGCGAAGGAGGGCGCCCGTGAGGCCATTGTGCGAAATTTGATTGACTTGAAAAGTGAAGGTTGGGGAAATGTTCTCATGAGTGGAAGAAACGTCTTGGTCTTTGAGACGTCATTTGTGGGGCTACCCATGTTAGGAAAGATGATGGAAGGTCAGCGAATCATATCGTTCCCATCACTTACACGTCTTCACTGCTACGGGCAGAAGAAAGATGGATGCATTCTTTGCCTTGATTGTCTTCCCTTGCTCCTAGGTATGCAGTAAAGACTTCTTCTTGCCGGCTTCGGCAAGACTCAACCCTTACATAAGGTTCATTTGCCTCAATAACGAAATTGCTGCCTTCATTTTCCTGTTGCTGCGTTTAATCGTCCAGAGGGATGTATTAGAGCCTTTTATAGCCCGTAATGGCAGGCAACTAAGTTATGTTTTAGGTTTCTATAACATCAGCCTTATGACAAAGCCATTCGTATTGCGGCATAACATCTAAGTTATAAGCTAGATACATTATTTGCAGTCAAGATTTATTGCTGATAGCTTAAATCAGCATAGGGAACTTGGCTGCCTTAATCAAGCAGTAATAATATAAGTTTCCTTTTTCCCTGTCTTTGTCTTCTTCTCAGCTGCTCGCAACCATCTACTTTCATCCCACATAAACAATCTTCGATCGACCTTTGCAACCGCGCCTAGTCCACCCATCACACTTCCTAGGTCTTGGGATAAACTGGTCTTAAGGCTTGTTAAGATATACCAAACTTGCCTGTGTCTTTTCATTACTTAAAATCACCACCCAAGTTTTCCTGTCATGCGACTCACAGCTCTCGCTGCCTGGTTGTGTTACACTGGCTTCTGTCACGGATATTCTGTTATAGAATCGGAAGACGTCGTGCACGGCCTTTTCAAGCTTAATTCAGCACGTTATGCATATGGGTACCATCCTTTGATTTGGGACTCTACCCTTGCCTCCTATGCGCAATACTATGCCAACCAATTGGGCTATGGTGCCGTTGTTCCTGATAATTTGCAGAGAACTGCTGTATACACAGAGGCCTCGGCCACGTGCGTGGGTCAACCACAGAGGCGTACTTTCGAGACTGCTGCGAACTTCTGGCTTATTGCCAAAGAGAGGCCCAACCGTGAACAAAGGGACTACTACAACTACCGTAAGCGATATCTCCGCTCCGTTATGATCTTCACATTCTAACTAATGACCAAGATGTAATCATGGATCCTAAGGCGAATCGAATCGGATGTGGTCTGTCATATGATTATCAAAATCCATGCGTTTTCCACACGGTTTGTATGCTTTCTTCCTAAAGAGATTGGTATGCTGTCCTACAGATCAAGTTAAAAGAAGTACAGAGTACTGACGGGTTGTCTACCAAGTTAGCTAGTGCGTGAATAAGATAAACCCTACCCTTATGGTAACCATCACAAAGGGGAAAACGGTAACATCCGACATCATATCATGGAATAGGCGGCGAAATCAAGAGTTTGCTTTGCTAGTAGTAATAAATCAGAACCTGTCTTCACCATATCCATCTCGTCTTTCAATCATATAACGATGTCTACAGGGTAGGTAGGCAGCACAGCTTATATAATCAAGGTGGGTCGGTTGGCCCGTGCACTCTGCCCTGCAGACTGGTGGAACAAGGAACGACGCGATCGAGAAAAAGGTCCCGTTCGCGCGACTCCATCAAGCATTGAACGTTGAAGCCATCGCGACAGACAGAAAACTCCACATATCTCGACACCTTTAGTTCACATCGATAGTGCCATCATCATCGGGTAAATTTTGGCATCTGAATCACTTCTATCAGTTCCAGCATCCGGCGATAGCGAGAGGAGACTCTTCGCGTGTTTGCGTAGCTCCTTTCCCGCAGCATGAGATGACCATCGAAACCTCATAGCTCACACGATGGAACGATCAAAGCCCCAGGCTTTCTTGACGAGCTATGCGCCGCGACTGCGCGCCTACAACAACTCCCTTCTCACCCCTGTTCTACCAAGCAGCGCGCCCGCCGGACCAGCTTCGAGAACCACAAAGCGAGGGACGACGATCATAAATTATGCTGAAGATGGCTATGATGACTTGGAAGATGATAGCGACGATCCTAGACGACGGCCGACGGGACTGAGGAGCTTACGAAAGGAGGACTCGGTCAGCAGACAGGACCTCGCCGACAAGATTGGCAAAGACACCAAGCAGCCTGTAGAGGTGCAGGGCGTCTGGCGCGATTGGATCGCCAAACACAGGCTGCTGAGGAGTGACCAGCAGAATGCCGTTCAAGCAACATTGCCTCTCACCCTCATTCCGATTCGAATCGATGTGGATGTTCCTGCGTTCATTCCACCAGCTCCATATCCCATGCCGCATAACCCGAGTACGGTGGACACCACACTTCCTCAGTATCGTCAACAGGAAGCGACAGCGCCGTATAAGCTTCGGGACATCTTTTGCTGGAATCTGCACGAGACCCTTATCTCTACCGATCAATTTGCCCAAACTCTAGTGCAGGACCTCGACCTGCCTAACCGGCAGGCAGTCATTGCTGATATCAGCAAGCAAATCCGGACGCAGCTCGAAGAGTACTCGGGCGTTGCCCTCCATCCGCTATTCCATAGTGACCCTCAGGCCCTCGCTGTTCCGCAGCCCACGACTGCTGCACTGACGCCACGGCCAAGCTTCGCGCTGAAGTCTCGGGATGACTCTCCCGTCTCCGCTATCCGAGGGGCGTCCCGGCCTGACACTCCGGCGCAGACTGGAGGCGCGGCCACTCCTTCGCAATCCCAAGTTCCCGATGTCACCGCAGAGGCAACGCCGATTCTTCCTGAGTCTGACGACTACAACCCTGACGATACCTATCGATGCATCATCAACTTGAACCTTAATCTGGCATCAATGCTCTACACTGATAAGTTTGAATGGTCTCTATTGCATCCGCCTGGAACCGCCGAAGCGTTCGCCAAGGTCACTTGTACAGATCTTGGGCTGACAGGAGAGTGGATACCGGCAATGACGCATGCCATCTACGAAGCGGTTCTGCGGCTGAAAAAGGAAGCCTGTGAGGCTGGCGGCCTTGTTGCTGGATGGGGTGGAATGCAGCAGGAGTTACCGAACGATGCTGCCCATGGCTCTGAGGCTGGCTGGAGGTACGACCCGGAGCACCTCGGAGATGACTGGGAGCCGAAAGTAGAATTCCTTAGTAAGGAAGAGATTGAGAAGCGAGAGGGCGACAGAGAACGTGAAGTTCGTCGATTACGCCGTGAGACGGCGCGGTTCAGCTCTACAACAGGCATGCTCGGAGGTACGCCCTTTGGTGCGCCGATGGAAGTCGAGGAGGAGAGAATGGGGCGAGGCGAGCGGTCCAAAAAGAAGCGGCGTTTCCGAAGCTTGAGTCCGCTTGGCCGAGGCGGTACACCAGGAGGGCGAGGGACACCAGACGTTGGGGGATATGGAGGTGGCGGAGCTTTGACAGACCAAGAGAGATATCAATGGAGGTGTATGCACTGCAGGATATGGGGCACAAGCGTCTGGGCTGTGAGAGATGGACCAGCAGGTCCAAGAGTAAGTTCAAATCTTGGCACTCCGTTTTCATTGCTAACATTACTCAGACTTTATGTGCCAACTGTGGTTATCTCTACGAGCGTGACCAGAGACTGCCCCGTCAAAGTAAAAACATTCATATATCAGATATCCGCGGATAGAGACCCTACGAGTCTGCTCTTGACAAGGAGAAGGTCCTAGACATTGAGGCAATTGAACGGCAACCGCCTGTTCTCATGGGCAGTGGCGAATAGTACTAGCAATGCGTCACCCCGACAGCCAGTGATGATGGTGTTTGTTTTTGCGAGGAAAAGCTTTTTGGAGGTGGAAATTGCGAGGGATGATTATACGGCGTCTCGGGAGGATATGGGGTTCCTCATGTGGAATGATACTTTCTCCCCTATCTATGGAACGTTGGTAATTGCGGGAAGGATATGAGATGCAGTATTGCGAAGTACGCATCCTTGTAGCTTATATTGATGCCCGGTGGTTTACAAGGGGTGTTTGTGATGCGTCCATTGACACTACTATCTTGAATTATAGATGGGTTGAGCTTAACTCAGAATTATGCTCGTGTGAAGGGCAACGCAGTGTGAGGTGGTTTACCTTTAGATACGATACGATTTTCGTATAATCTACCTACTATACCTATCTAGGTAGACAATGGATGTGTAGATTATTCACAGAGAAAGGAACTACCTATAGGTGATATGTGGTCATCACGTGTGCCAGCTTGACCAGGCCTCCATATTTCCTAAACCTGACCACAACAACCTCATTCTATCCTTGACATGGCCCCGTTAGGCAAAATACGTAACTTCAACAGAGTATCATGCGTACTATCCACATATGCAAGTCACCTCTGGACCCTTGCTATTGCATAGCATTACATTGGCTGTCGAGCCACCCAGGCAAAGCCGCACCACGCTTTGGGGTAATCCGGAAGAACCTCCTCCACGATCCAATCCGTCCACTCTAACGCACCACATCACAGCCTAAGGAACGATTAACTTACACCCCGCACTTCTGAAATGGGCTATTCTGTATCTTCCGAAACAGTGGATATCACGTTCCACTGGGGTACTGGACTACTTGGAGACGCCCCCAAGGCGGTTCGAGCCGAGAAGATGCTGCCGATTCATGCAGGGTTGATGACTTTGATACCCCTCGTTAGCCGTCTTCCGTGTCTGGAAAAGGCATTCCGTTCGAGAGCCTCGGCAGTCCGAGAAATCTGTATTATCGTTGCGAGTGCTTCGTATATTGAAGAACAGAAAGTAAACACCTCAGAATTGAGGCGGCGGCGAACAAATAACAACCTGGACAGGGCTCATAAACCAAGTGCAGTCAGTCAAGGCCCGGCGGAACAATTCAATCACCGTAACATTCATGTCGATTGTGCGCTGCACATTCGCCAGCCATCACATGAGACTACCAGTCGCAGACAAGATCTGGTAGCCTGCCTGCTCGCCTGGCAAGGTCCTCACACATGGCCGGCAGGAGAATCCTGGTCTATAGTCAACAATATGCCGGGGTTATAGCCACTATCTCGGTCATGATGTATCCGAAACTGCTGGATTTGGACGAGAAAGCTCTCCAAGCCCTCACCTCCATGCGCTATGTCAGGGGTTTAACTTCTGCCACCTCCGCATTGCCCGGCAGCTGACCAACAACAGCTGTTTTTCGAGATGGGCATGGGCGCACAATGAACACATGAACAAACTAAATTTGACGGAAATTCTCTTCCACGATACCTGCAGTTGCCGCCTCGAGACTTCTTTTAAGCGGACGGGCTGAATCCCGAAGTACCGCGAGATCCCCTTTACCAGGACAACTCATCTAGGTTCCACGGCTGTAATTGTTCCACCATCAAGAGCATATGAGCTATGGAACTTGAAGTCAAATATACACCAATGTTTCGGGTTCCGGTTTACAGACGGGAAAAGGAACATCAACGCTACCAAAGACGGATCAGCTGGAAACGGATGCTCAACAGACAGTGTGATGTAAAGATGCCCTTCACTTCCCTCAACAGATCAATATGCATAAACTATCTCCTAAAGGATATATAATCTTTACCGGAGCTACGGCCCATTGAAGCGATGTCTACTGAGGAGCATTGTGCCCGTGGTGCAAGGCACCCGTGGATCTCGAAGACAGGCTTCTCCATATTGATACCAGACGAAGATGTGACAGCACCGCATAGTTGGTAAACACCAGGCTCGAATAGCGGCAAACGGGCCAAAGCTTTGGGTCCATGAGAGAACCAACAAGTTGTGGGGTCAGCCTCCTCACTTGAAGTACGGCTAAGTACAATCAACCCTGGGCGGAGATCCATCTGGTTAAGATGGCAGGGTGACTCAAGGGTGACCGTTTACTCCTAGTTGCCTTTCCGGGACTGGTAACTAGACTACCTCACGATCATTCTATGGATTATATCATGGGTCTCATTAGTCCACGGCAAAAAGACGATGGAAGCGACGGCCCGAAAAACGAACGATGTTCCTATCCTTTAGATGCCTGTGAAAACAGTAATCCTGAATCTTGCTCTTATTCTTACACGGCCTCGATAGTCCAAGCTACAGGGTCCCTCCAATGAGCGAAGATCATGAGTGCAGCCTCTTCGGAGGCCAAACCATTGCTCTCCTTCGGGAACTACGGACCGGCCTACTCGTTCTCTTTGCTACTGTAGGTATTCATCGGACACTTACCGTACGCCACCGGAGGCTATCACGGAGATCGGCTCAGGAACTGCCCCCTGCAGTCACCGTACCTCGTTGTGGCTCTTCTCGACAAGTCTCCGCTCTGGAGGCATGCCATGCTTTGCCTGTTGTCACCAAGTGGGACATCACTGGCTCAGCAAGGTCCTTCTTACCTTCGTACTGTCCAAGGGCGTGCGGCCCGTGAACCGATTCTCTCCTGAAGCTACGAAAATGGAGCCTCATCGGTATGACGGCTTCTCTTGATGTTGATCACTCCTTTCTTTCGAACTTGGACATGGGTGGAGGGGACGATCTTCTAAGTTCCAGATCTTCTTATTGACGACTATATAACAAGCTCGGATTCCCAATTCAAATCGAACTCACCACTCCTCACCTCATCACCACTTCTTCAGTCAACCCAGTCTCATCTATCCAACGGTCTAGCTTCACTTCAAAATGTATCGTGTCGTCGCAACCGCCTCGGCTCTTATTGCCGCTGCCCGGGCTCAACAGGTCTGCACTTTGACCACCGAAACCAAGCCTGCCTTGACCTGGTCCAAGTGTACATCCAGCGGCTGCAGCGATGTCAAGGGTTCCGTTGGTATTGATGCCAACTGGCGATGGACTCACCAGACTTCTGGATCTACCAACTGTTACACCGGAAACAAGTGGGACACCTCCATCTGCACTGATGGCGCGACCTGCGCCCAGAAGTGCTGTCTTGATGGCGCCGACTATGCTGGCACCTACGGAATCACTTCCAGCGGCAACCAGCTCAGTCTTGGATTCGTCACCCAGGGTCCCTACAGCAAGAATATCGGCAGCCGAACCTACCTCATGGAGAACGAGAACACCTACCAGATGTTCCAGCTTCTGGGCAACGAGTTCACCTTTGACGTCGATGTCTCTGGTATTGGCTGCGGTCTGAACGGTGCTCTCTACTTCGTCAGCATGGACGAGGATGGTGGCAAGGCCAAGTACTCCGGAAACAAGGCCGGAGCCAAGTACGGAACTGGTTACTGTGATGCTCAGTGCCCTCGTGATGTCAAGTTCATCAACGGAGTTGTAAGTATTAACCTAGAGCACGATTGCAGGTTTGGGACAGACGCTAACCAGTACTCAAGGCCAACTCTGAAGGCTGGGAGCCCTCTGACAGTGATGCTAACGCTGGTGTTGGTAACCTGGGCACTTGCTGCCCCGAGATGGACATCTGGGAGGCCAACTCCATCTCCACCGCCTTCACTCCTCACCCTTGCACCAAGCTCACTCAGCACTCTTGCACTGGCGACTCTTGCGGTGGAACCTACTCTGATGACCGATATGGCGGTACTTGCGATGCCGACGGTTGTGATTTCAACGCCTACCGCCAGGGCAACAAGACCTTCTACGGTCCTGGATCCAACTTCAACGTCGATACCACCAAGAAGATGACTGTTGTCACTCAGTTCCACAAGGGCAGCAACGGACGTCTTTCTGAGATTACCCGTCTGTACGTCCAGAACGGCAAGGTCATTGCCAACTCCGAGTCCAAGATTGCAGGCAACCCCGGTAGCTCTCTCACCTCTGACTTCTGCTCCAAGCAGAAGAGCGTCTTTGGCGATATCGATGACTTCACCAAGAAGGGTGGCTGGAACGGCATGAGCGATGCTCTCGCTGCCCCCATGGTTCTTGTTATGTCTCTCTGGCACGACGTAAGTCTAACGCAGCCCCCCTATTCATATGTGAAATAGGAACACCACATACTGACTTTTCTCTACAGCACCACTCCAACATGCTCTGGCTCGACTCTACCTACCCTACCGACTCTACCAAGGTTGGGTCCCAGCGAGGTTCTTGCGCTACCACCTCTGGCAAGCCCTCCGACCTTGAGCGAGATGTTCCCAACTCCAAGGTTTCCTTCTCCAACATCAAGTTCGGTCCCATCGGAAGCACCTACAAGAGCGACGGCACCACCCCTAACCCCCCTGCCAGCAGCAGCACCACCACTGGTTCTTCCACTCCCACCAACCCCCCCGGCAGCGTCGACCAGTGGGGACAGTGCGGTGGCCAGAACTACAGCGGCCCCACGACCTGCAAGTCTCCCTTCACCTGCAAGAAGCTCAACGACTTCTACTCCCAGTGCCAGTAAAGGGGCTGCCGAGCTATCTAGCATGAGATTGAGGAACGATGTGATGAGTGGATGATAAAGGAGAAGTGCGTGGATGAGATGGACTCGATGTGGGGAAACAGGGGTTGGCTTTCAGTTTTCCGGGTACTTTGTGCTCTTCTTTTGCCCTTCGTTTGTCTCGCGCAATAAAAAGCGACCTTTGCCCCTATTGTTATATACATCGGTAGAAAATAGTTACAACTGTCGTTATCAACCTATCTCTTACTCGACTCGCTTTGAAATTTCTGTATGAGTAACTGTTCCACCGACTATCTTTCGAAGATAATTAATGACTTTCTGCAACGCCCGTTTTAGTACAGTTCTTGGCAAGGAACGATGTGACCAAGAAAGACATGAAATCCTGTCAACAAGATGACATGGGAACACAACATACATAACAGACCATGATATTGGAGATAATATCGGTATTGTGAACGTCGAATTTAATGTATGGATAAAGCTGTTGCGTTCTACGGCGTAGTGTAAGACGCCTTATATTGTGCTATGCTGAAAACAAGCATCTTGTCTTATTATGTCGATATTTGAGAGCTCTGAGCTATACTTTAAGTATTACTATAGAGGGATTTGGCTTTTCAATATGGATATGGCTGTTGAGTTAAAAGAAGCTTCGAGCCCAACTAGGAGACAATGACGCCCAGTGTCGACTTCATGATATGATGTCCGTCAGCTAACCTCCTATTACACAATCTGGATGGGACATGCCACTTTCAGGATCCTGGACTTTTCCTAGAGATCACAGCAATGTCTTCGTATCTTCAATGTATCCTTATATCAGCATATATGTCTAGGTAGATACACGGCTGAAACGATTGTCTTCCATATCTCGAATTCCTAGATGCAAAATTATCCTAATTCAAAATCCTCCATCAATTACAGTATATTTAAACAGACTCGCGCTTCTTCTCGCTCTGCTGAATCTCAGCCCCGTCCTTGAACTCTTGGGTCTGATGTTGAGCAGTGTCAACACCGAGCATCTGGGCACCCTTCTCAGTGTGATCGGCACCACCGAAAACAGTATCCATGTGCTCAAGAGCGATACCCTTGGTTTCAGGGACAAAGAAGAAGACAAAAATGCAGAGCAGGATGTTGACGGCAAAGAAGAAGAAGAGGCACTTGAGGCCGGTCTTGGCGAGGAATGTTGGGAAGAACTGTTGGAAAATGGTGTTGGCCACATTCTGGCATTGAGAGGCCATACCGACGGCCTGGGTTCGGACGTTGGCGGAGAAGACTTCACTGGTCCACATCCAGACACCGGCACCCCATGAAGGCTTATAGAAGAAGCTATAATAATATGTTAGTATGCGTTTACAAAGGCGAAAAAGCAAGAAAACTCACATGAAGAGGTAGAGCATGACAACAATGCCAATAGCAGTGGGCTCGGTCTTGGGGGTGGGAGTAGCGAGACCAATGACGGGAACAATCAACATGCAGACAGCCATACCCGCGGCACCGACCATGAAGAGCCATCGGCGACCAAAGCGATCGGCGGTCCATACAGCGTTCAAAGTGAATAGAATACCCATGGTGGCCCACAAAGCGTTGATGAGGTTGATCTTCTCAGTCGAAGTCCAGACTTGCTTGTAAATGGAAGTGGAGTAGGTGTTGAGGGTACCCTGGCCGGTGAGCTGCTGGCCGACGTTGAGGACAACTGCAATACCGAAGCGCTTCCTGATAGAGGGGTCCTTGAAAAGGGCACGGTATCCAGGGCTGATGGCCTCCTTCTCGTACTCGATAGCAGCCTGGATAGCCAGGACCTCGTCCTCAACCTCCTCCTCAGTGTCACGGATACTTCGAAGGGCGGAGCGGGCGTCGTCGATCTTTCCCTTCTTGATGAGGAAACGAGGAGATTCTGGCTGGAATGGAAGCAGGATGATGACAAAGATGGGAACCATGACCTGGAAGATAACAACCATGCGCCAATCCCACTCGCCAAGCTTCTCTCGGTTCTTGCCGCAAGCGAAGTTGATCCAGTAGGCAATAAAGGCACCGACCGAGTAGAAGAGTTGCCAGAAGGTCATGACCTGACCTCGAATCTCAGCGGGGGCAACCTCACCGATGTAAACAGGGCCAGCAGCTGGGAGGAAGTCAGTGACCAGTCACAGGAGCTGGTGAAAGTATATAACTTACTGAGAGCGGTGCCCTGGCCGATACCGATGAGGACACGGCCGAGAATGAAGACACCAAGCTTTCCCTTGGGGGCAAAAGCCTGGATGATAGCGGCGATGATGGTGATGAAGCAACCAATACCCATACCGGCACGTCGACCAAGCCAATCAGCCAAGGGGCCACCGATGAAGAAACCACTAACGATAGCACCGATAGTGTAGCATGTGTTGATGAGACCGACAGTGTAACTGTCATTCTTGAGGTCGAGATTGAACCAGTTCAGCCAGTTCTCCGAGGCCTGGAGAGCGTTGAAGACACTGGAGTCAAAGCCGTAGAGCGTCATACAAGACGCAGCTACCATGGCAATGAACCAGTTGTAGACTCTGGTCTTGCTGGGCATGTTGGCGGTGTCTGGCCCTGTGCCTTTCTTTTTTTCTTTCGGGTGTCGTTAGTCGAGAAAGAGTTGCCGATTATATGACTCAAGAATGAGAAAGGTCGGACTCAAGAAGAGGCAGAGAAGAGAATGAGGATAGTGGGACAAAGAACAGAGGAGAGAAGGAGAGAAGATGATGCTTCCCTTGCTATCTTTTTATCTTCGAGACGAGGAAGGAACCCCCAGAGGCTAGAGCCGTCTTTCTTGCCCCCAGACCCCAGACTATGTCTTTCCTAGGTTAACCCCAGACCCAACCCCAGGATGCGGTTGCGGTTGCGGTTTGCGTTGCGGCTACCTATGGGTGGTTTACGGACGGACGCACCTTCCCCACCGTTCCGTAAGTCTCTACCTCTAATTGTGTGTTAAATGTGATGTCTCGATGTGAATGGCCGAACTTGCTTTCTGTTGTTGCTGTCTCCTGAAATCTTGACTACCTCAGTTGTTCGGCAGAAGAGGCAGCATTTACATCCACCATTCACGCTCGTCAGTCGACCCCTGGTAGGTACTTGATGATAAGGCAGTTGAGCCTGTATATCAGTTTCATGTCCTCTTATCGAACGTTGAGAATTCGCTTAATTATCGTTGTTTCCACTTTTCTAGCACTGAGTCGGGATCCCATCATCCCATCGTTGAGCGCTTCACAGTTCAAACCCCCGCAACTATTGAACGACTCAACGTAAGGTAGCTCAAGATCGGAACCCCCAAAGTTGCATCCTATTCCCCCACGATTCATTTACCATGAGTCTAAAGAATAGAATTCAGTCCAATGTATCAAAAGAAGACTCCCTTAATTAGACTTGTGATGCTACTGTGCCGTGCCGAGTTCCGTCTGCCCAGGTCGCTGACCCCTGCCATGCCCTCCACCGGCTCGGCGCCTCTGTCAGTTTTGGGTGGCATGCTTAACGCCTGTTGGAGCAATTTCTTCCTGGCGTTCTCTTAGACCTCGACTCTCTTTGGAATTGGCTTCCTTGGGGGAGTGGAGAATGGGGGGGATGTCTTTTTGCGGCTGATGATGGCCATACCGCGTGGCCAGATGGCAGGGCATCAAAAGCTACGATTGGTGGAATATCTCAGGAAATAATTCCTCCGTCAGAAATAGTCAAAATTTAACTCTGCCCGTGCTAGACCCGTTCTGAGCCAAGCTCCATTGGTCTCCACCTCCACGATTCACCCGTGCGGAGTAGACCGCTTCTCGTTTTCCTGGATCTCTTCCCCGCATTGGACTTGCCTTGGTTATGGAGAAGAATCTCGGAGAGAAAGCAAATAAAGATAAGCGGTTATTGGGGAGTGATTACTCCGTGATCTTTGGTGTTCTATCTTAGGGAGGTATGCTGCGATATGCTACGATTAGTAGCTGAGCCTGATGGCGCCACTTCGTATATACCTTTGACAGTTGAGTCTATCTCAACAGCACAGAGAGTCATGTAACCCCAAAACGGGTCCTCCAACTTGAAAACGACCTCATGGATGATGGACGTAGGTAGTAGACTTGGTCAAGGCGCAGCATGGCTTGGTTGACTCCAAAACTGAACTACATAGCTCCAGCTCCAGCACCAGCTCCAGCACTTGCCAAGACATCGACCCCTTATTCAGCCCGATCTTACACCCTCTTACAAGTTGTCATATTGCATCTTGGCCATACCGCTTAGACGGCAACATCAACACACCACACCATAAATCTCAATGCCAAGTGCGATCAACCCAGGGTCTCAAGCGCCACCGACAACGGACCGATGCTCCCTTTGTGACGACGTTGTACATATCTTACCTTACAAGTGTTTGGCCTTTGCAGAGTACCTAACTAATAGCTATTCTTCACAGTTTCCCTCTCCTTGATAGCAGCACCGTTAACGTTAACTGACTCTTTGGCGAGAGGACGTTCAACATAAAACCAAATCAGGCGACACCTATGTTCCGGCGGGGTCGGCCGATTGCTAGATAAATGAGAGTGAATACTCTCTATGTACCATATTTCTGCCTTGACTCCATCATTCCAACTCCGAATGACAGCATTGTCACCCCCAAACTTTGCGTCCATCCCCGTCATTTCCACACCAAACAATGCAGCTTTCGGCTAAATTTGAATCGATGCAGTGGTTTTCATCATACTTCCCTAACATTGACCAATAGCTTGCTTTACGGGGTTCTAGTCGTAGTCACAAAATGCATTGTCTTTCTAAAATACCTTAGGTTGACAACCTATTCAGTCCTGTCAATGAAACTCTTACACCATGAAGCATCCTGATTCGAAACCACCCTCATAGTAATTGAATCTCGATTCATACCAGCAATAGGTTTCACCCTATACACGGCTAAACCGCGAACATCGAGAATATTACGAATTCAAACCTCCTATCTAATCTATTGAATGGCCTTACAAAGATATACATAAGAATTGGGATTGTATGTCACTTTGGAATTGTTTGAAAGGTAATGTTCATAAACATGCCCATACGCAAATTCTTTACTTCCTATGGCTTATGCGGTCCGGCCGACCCACATCGATGAAATTGCACACTCCAACTCCTAATCAACGCATTGAACAAGGTATGATACACTGCATCTCGGCATACTAGGAAGTCAGGCTTTAACTCTACCCAAAATCTAACCTAAGAGCCTCAATCCTAGAGCGTGCTTTGGAATTAAACATGAGGAGTGTTTCTACCCTCATCTTCCAAGCCCAGCTCCTGGGATGTATTATTAGGAGTCGTCACCGTGAGCATTTGTGTAAGATCAACCCCTCCCCATGGCATCTCCTTGATTTGCTGTGAGATTTGTATTTAAAACCCAGCCTGAGTTTGGGGTGGTATACCCCTGCCTTGATACTGTAATTGATACTGTTCTCTAGCGGTATCCCGTGCTTGCTTTCGCCTCGAAAGTCGTTCCACCATTTCCTGGGATATCATACTAAAGCTTTCTCTCCAGGTCGAGGCATCTGCCCAACGGTCTCCGTAGGTATCTAATGTCTGTGAGACCTTATCGAGACATCTCAAGCTGCGATCGAGATTATCCTCTCCATTCATCCCTTGGGGTTGCAGTCGCCTTGGGAGAGGAGGCGCAGGTGCAGCACCTGGGCGAGAAATCGGAATTGGAACCGGCATTCCCGAGAGAAGCATATCTTCTGCATCTCTTAGAACCGCGAGGAACTGATTCGCCATAAAATAGACCCTCAACACGTCATGGTATGTATAGAACCCGGAGTTTTGTGCACCATGTGCTATCTCATGGACAGTGTCAAGGTAGGCCATCGAATGCTCAAAAATCAGGATACGGTTATAGTCGGTAATGCTGGGTGCCCTGGCCGAGGGTGCAATACAGTAGACGTAGCTATACCTCAGCTCTTGGTCGAACAATTGTCTGATTTCAGGGGCCAGATTTGTCGGCAGAGTGTCTTGCCATTCGCGCATATCAAGACACATTTTCCAAATATAGGAGATTGGATCCTGCAGAGGGACTGAACCTGATTGGTACAACTCCTGGTACCAATGGGATTGCGCTCGTCGGAGTTGAAAGAGCAGTAGAGCAGGGTCCGCGGGCTGGGGCCCGGTGATGGGACCTGACGCAGAACTCTTTCTCCCGTTACTAGATGCCTGGGGAAAGGCGACATTGACAGTATCATCAGTGAACGAGAATGTTCGCGCATGGACCATACTAATGGCACTAAAGTGCAGATTAGCAGGTGCGGGCTTGGTTAAAAAGGAAGGGTTATGAAGACTTACCGGTCAAGAGCGTAGACGCAGTAAAAGATCTTGCGTCGCATGTCCAGAGAAGCTTTGTCAGGGACAGAAGACGAAGGAGGGTCTTGGTGAAAACCCAGGTCAACTATCGCACGGGCTGTGAAACCTATCAAATGCCAGCTATCGAAGTGGGCAGGGTCCAACATGGCATACTGCGTCAAAAGAAGAAGCGACTGGATTTGCGTCACGTATCCGGGGGTGAGAGCACCATCGGCATGGTTCATAGCTCTTGACGCATACTCGAGGCCAGTAAGATAGTGTGTATCCTGGCTACGTTTGCTTTGGGCTATAGAGCCAATGGCAAGGACCATGTACACCATCCAGTAGTCCGAGTCTTTGATGGTCCGGGTATCTTCTTGATAGATGTCGTCAAGAGCGGTTAAAAGTGAGGTTTCTGAAAAGCAGGGGAACAACGAATAGACATTGTCCATGTAATGCTGGACCAGCACATGAGCAGTTTGCCTTGGAGGTAAGCGGGCTTGGTCAGACTCTGGAAGGGCATCGTTCGTTGTTGCCGCCAAGACAAGTCTAGCAAAAGTCATGTTTGTTGATATGGGTTCAAAGTCTCGCGTTGTGGCATTGACAGAACTAACGAGGCATATTAGCATAAAGGGACTTGGCTGCTGTTCAGTACTTACAGAAAGCCAAAGTCGGATACAAGAGAGTTGACATCAGAAGTCTCCCGCTTTTGCGCCGCTTTGCGATGTATAGCGGCACGAATGAGCGCAAGAGAGTCTCTACGGTCCATCTGTTGCACATTGAAGGCCGATGCATCTGTATCATGGAGTGCAACGGATGCCTTGCGTGATTTTGCAAACTGAAGCCGCTTTTCAAGCTTCTCTATGCGCAATTCCAGGGCCGCCACGTAACTGAACACAAAGATTAGATGGGCTCTCGCTCTCAACGACCAAGTTATCGACCAACCTTCTCTCCTTGCCCCGAGCGAACTGATCGTTTGCTGCTGAACACTCATTTGAACGGCCAGCCTTTTCGCAAGCTGTACAAGCCGGGAGTTTGCCATCACACTGTATGATATTAGCCACTGTCCGAAACATATGAGCGGCAAGCTAGTTGCGTTTACCTTGACCTTGGCAGCGCGGCCTTATACATGAAGCCAGTCAGCAAACATGACCCCTCGAATATAGGCTCACTACTTACACCGAGAGCAAGCGGACACTGGCCTTGACACCCTCAAAAGCGGGTTGTGAGAGAAACTCGGACGTGGCATTTTTTCCAAGTCTGTAGATGCCGACCTAGCACAAGGTATCGACGGCAAAAGTCCTGAGGGACTGATAGGGCAGAGTGTCCGTGCAATCAACTACAATAAGCGCAACGAATAGAGCTTGACTGGAGATAGTAGGTGATGGGTGAGGTCTGGGGTAACAGTTCGTTCGACTGTTGTCAAATTTCTCCACTCGGAAGCGGGACAATCAAGACCACGAGGACCAGGTTTGTTCCAGGAGTCAGTGGATCGACCTGTAATCTAAGCCGTTGACTCCGGGGATACACAGAGATTGTAGTTGGCCTTTGAAGAACCTCAAGGAGCCTGACCACAACGTGAAGCGCAATCAGAAAGAGGCGTGGGAAATGGGCGCGGTCTTGTGCAGGCAGGCAATCCACTGTTCCGTGGCGTCGTTGGCTAGTTCTTCTGAGTGGACGGTTGCGGGACAATCATCCAGGAATGGACTTAAAAAAGAACTCGATGCGTCGGTAACGCGTTGTATTGGGGTTTCAGAACTCTCTACAAGTTTCTGGAAAAGATAGGCTCAGATGATGACGGGAGGGAAGTGGCATCTCAACCGCAAAACATGGCAATGTAGGTAGTTTTGTCGACAACAAAGGTAACAAAGTGCTATTGTCTCATCGAGTCGACTCGTGTCCCTCGAGTTGTCGAGCGGGGCGGGGCAACAGATGTGGGTGGATAGGCACCTTTAGAGAATAGATGGCGTAGTAGTAGTGCGGTTATACAGCGGCACAAATGACGATTATGAGCAAGAGGTACAGGTTCTATTATATGATCCGTGGCGGGCAGTCTTAGTATTGAAGAGCGTTGCTATTCTGATGGCGATAATAGTTGTTTATTGTGTACCAAGAATGTCAGCGGCATGAGTGTAAGGAAGAAAAAAAGATAAGCGCGTGCCTCCCGTCTATGACAGGATGGACAGTTTAGGTGTTTGTTATTGGCAAGTAAGCTCATCCCAGGCGGGCGTCAGTAAAACAACTACCTAAGTACTAACCTCGGTTCATGAGTGTAGGTAAACTCTATTCACCAACCCCAGAACAAAATTCAGGAACAGTGATCAATGACTCCCCGAAGCTTGAATATCCAATATGCCAATTCCCGGGCACTAGCGAATTTCCCTGTATACAAAGGTTCCGAACTCTATCGTATGCTGTCTCATCATGCCATATTAAGCCACCGCAATGCAGAGCTGTAGAACCAGGGCGAACTTAGGATACGACGAATCTTAGACGGACGGGCCGGATTCATTTCCCCGATGCACGTCAGTTCAATACTATTACTTTAAATACTGCCGAATACCTTAGTCAATGTGTCTGTGTACGTACTTGGCCTGCAGAATACTGTGCAATCATAACTCCCTTCGACCTCATTTGACACGCCAAGGTCTGTTGGTTTTGGAGCTATATGTCTCTCTACTTGACTAAACCTCTCATTCTTGGACTGTCGACAACTAAAAATGCTATAACATCAAGGACCGAGTTACAGTCTGTAAGCCCGACTGAGGAGCGATAAGATTGGAATTTGTATCGACAAAACAAAGCATCAGATATTGGACGTGGGATGGCAAGGGTTTGTAGCTTATTTGCTTATTTATCAACCGATAGAGGCGCGAACAGACTTCGAGGCTAAAGTAGGATACCTTTATAGCGGGTCTGGTGAGCAAGGCATCCAATCCATGGCAGATGAAAACAGAACATATCATGCATGCATAAAATAGGTAGCTGTGTATTCGCCCGATGGCACATCCGGCTGGAGATAGAATCAATTCCGCACGGTACTTGATCAAGTTCCGCGGCCCATAAAATAACACGATGTGACACGATGTTTGGTCAAAGCTGGAGTGGGCTTTATCAGATTACGGCAGATGCCTGAATCTATAACAGGGAATCATATGGGTCCTTTGAGGTACCTTACTACGTGTTGTGAGGGACTTCCTGAACATATTTGCGCGACATGTCATTGCTGACACGAGTATCACATATGCATTATTCTTTGTACGCGCGCCATCTAGGTAATGTCGCATACGGCCTCTCGGCCACATGATCCACGCGAGATGCATGTCCTGGAATCAAACGTTGAAGGTCCCAGAGCGGGCTGGCCGAACAATAAAATTCATCATAATTCAGCACCTGTCACTCAAGGATCTGCACTAATAGAAGCTAAGACTAGTCCTGTCGAGGTAAAGTCAATTTTCGCCCACCTTATCTGGGGCATGTTTCTTCAATGCTGAAACATTCATCACTCAGCCAATAAGTTACCAATGTTGTCGCCGAGCCAAACAGCTCGTGACTTCTGGTACTCATCAAGAAACCTGCAAACTTTATCCTTCTGGCGGATCCAAGCATATAAACTATGGTCTTGTGGTTTAGACCAGCAAAATATCGGTGTCAATGTCTATTCTAGCTACTAAGCTATTTTCTCTTGTTTTTCACCGAAGGCCCTAATTCTCTAGGTCAACTTACTAAGGTATTGGTGATGCGTTGACATCCATACCTGACCCGCCTGCCCAGCCTTCTGTGCCGCTTTCAACTCCAGTGGAGGCTCCAAATTTCTCAGGGTCTTGTTAGCGAGCATCGAGACCTCGAACACTTTCCCCGCTATTGCAACCTCGTTTGCCCTGGACGCTTGGGCGTCGCAAGAGTCAAGCAGCCAATCAGCAACACCTAACTTGCCCATCGACCTGTTGCCTTGCCCCTCGTTTCCGCGTCGTCGAGGACCTGACCTGCTTTGGCGTACATCCATCCATCCATACCTCACTCACTCACCTGGGTAGGTACACAATCACTTTGCCTGTGCCCTCTACCTTACCAAATACTCCCACAACACAAGCGCCTGGCCAATACTATTCAGTCAACCTGCGGTGATGTTGCCATCAGCGTATACATCCCTTAACATCACGGATTATCCATAAACGCCTACTCAGGTCCTGGAGCTAGAATCTATCATCATCGTTTGGGTTCAAGACCCCGGCCCGTTCCTGTGCCTTGTTTGCTTTGTTTGCATTCCTCCTGTGCGTGCGTAACGGTGCCTCTCAGCGCATCGGCCTCTCGATATCGATAATCTCGGCATCGGATGCCTGCGCGCGACCAAGTTCAACCTACCTCATAGGCGATTTCGCCGATATATTCAATGGACCCGGCAGACATCTTCCGACAAGGCCTTGGCCAAGTCGCTCCCCGCCAGAATCCCGTTTTCATGGGTCACCCTCAACACCATATGGTCCAGTTCCAGCAGCAGCCGCCACCTCCGCCGGCCTTCAGGAAACCTGCACAGCAGACCGACGAAACTTCGGATGGTGACGGCTCGAGTCACCGCATTGCCCACACTCTGACTGCTTGCTGCCGTTGCCGACAGGTACCTATCCCCTTGGTGCAACTCGATAATCTGAGCTACATGCTAATGTATTCCTATGTAGAGGAAAACTCGATGCGATCCAACTTTGCCCCGCTGTTTGCCATGTGAAAGATCCGGATCGACTTGCGAATACCTTGATGCAGCCAAAGGTCGCAAAATCAACAGGCATTATGTTATCAGGCTACAAGACAAAGTCAGGCAACTCGAGGCCGAGCTTAGCCAATATACCGACGACGAAAATGAGTATCCTACAAGTAATGAAGACATGGTACGGCCCGGTGGAATGGTTCGTCTGAATGGTGGCGATGAGACCCCTCGATACCTAGGACCCAGTAGCGGTATCGCAATGACACGTCTTCTTATGGAGCAAGCAAAACGATACACTGATTCAAAGCGCATATCCGATCTCATCCCCAGTGTACGCGCCAGACAAGCTCGTATGCAGTCCATACAAATGACAGGACCTTCGGCAAGGAGAAAGAGTTACCCCATGATTAGCCAGCATCCAGCCGAGAGTCTGCCCACAAGAGCCGTTGCCGATAAGTTACTGGAGATCTTTAACCAGAAAGGTAAAACCTCAAGCCTGTTATGAATTACAGCATTCGGAATGCTAACTTATCAAAGCTCAACTCTTCTGGCCTGTTCTTCACGAAAAGGATCTTCTACAGGATCTGGATGCGGTCTACAATGGCGACACTGATCCTTATCGGCTTTTTATTGTCAGAATGCTTGTAGCCATCAGCTTACAAAAGCTTGACACACAATATGCTGGCTTGGCAGACAGCTACTACTTGGCAGCAATGCAACTGTTCGAAGACGTCGTCCGCCCCAAGGATCTCAAGACATTGCAATGTCTCGTGCTTCTCGGACAATATTCGCTTCTTACCCCTACAAGGACGCCCATCTACTATGTGATCGGCCTGGCAGCTAGAATATGCCAACAGGAAGGACTAGCCAGCGAGAAGACTATTTCTACAGGGTACAACTTGGATGCCAAAACAATTGATATGAGGAGGCGGATCATCTGGACTGTCGCCGCGATGGAATATGGCTTGGCGCACAGCATGGGTAGGCCCAACAGTTTTGCGACAGGCGACGACCGACTAGACGTCGAATTCTTCGCAGCAGTCGACGACGACAACATCACCGACCAGGGCATCCAGCCAGGCCCTCCCAGTGAGCGCAAACTTGTTGCCATTCATTTCTACAGAATGAGAATGTGCCAGGCCGAGATCCGAAGGGCTTTGTATGAGAAGAAGAAGGAAGAACCGAAGCACGACTCGCACCCTTGGTTTGCAAGGATTGAGAAAATGAACAAAGAATGGCTAGATGCATCACCCACGAGCCCCGATTGGTGCAAGCCTTGGTATGTCCTCCTCCATTTTATTGCTCTCTATGTCTAATGCGATTCGATAGGTTCACCGGCAGGTATCATCAGATGAGGATATTCATGTATAGACCCTCTCCGCAGATCCCAAAGCCATCACCTCGCGCCGCGGCGATTTGTTACGAGAGCGCAGCGTACATCATACAGCTCAATGCTAAGCAGATGGGAAGTGGCGCGGATCTCACATGGGTTTTCCTTCTGACCGTGAACATGTCCCTCAACACACTCTTGTGGACTGTTTCGTATCCAGAAGTGCGCCGAGCGCACCCCCGTCATGAGGTTGAAACTCTCGTTCAGACTTCTATGGAGGTTTTGGATCGCTGTACAGAAAGATGGCCCGGGACTGCGTCCGCCTCACAACTTTACTCCATCTTCTCGAAAGCTTGTTTGCAAGGCTACGATGAGCGCCCAATGACGGGACAGACAGCCGGCTTCTTCACCACGCCCCCTTCCTTCGCAGACCCTAACTCGCCCGAAGCCTTCCAGAACCTTCAACAAGTCCAGGCCCCTTATCAGAACCCACCTCAGTTCAATCATGTATTCAACTCACCGCCAGAGGCCATGACCGCTTACGCCTTCGATCCCAACTTCCCTCCACCTCAACCGAGCTTCAGGTCTAACTCCATCTTCTTCAACCCTGCGAGCAATGAACCTACTACGGGACGAAGATTCTCATACTTCCCACCCGACTTCATGCAGCCCGGCGAGACCATGATGGATGACCCAACACCGCCAGCCACCACGACCCCTGAGCAACATATGACATCGCCTCCAGATCACATGTCAGAGCAATTGCCAACTCCTCCTGACAGCATTCCGACCGGCAATATGACAACACCAACCCCTAGCAACACTTTATCGCCCGCGAACACCCTGACGGCCCATCCTACCCCCATTATGCAGCATGCCTCGCCGGCTGGAGTTTCTCTGGTGCCCGTGCAGACGAACATGTCCCCTCCTATCAAGATTGAACAATCCCAACGTGGGCCCACGTTTGTTGTACCTCAAAACCCACAGGCTGCACCTACTCAAAGACCTCTACCAACCCCAAACGGTATTGGGGATTGGTTCTCGCCTCCTGCGCCATTTATTTCCCCGTACGCTTTTAACAACATGAGCAACAGTTTCTTCAACGATTCCATGGCGAATCCTGGGAACTATGGAGATATGTCAGGCTCTGGTCTTGGGTTACAGAATATTCAAGGTGGGAATGCTCCTCCTCAGTTTGACTATGGTTTTGCCAGGCAGGGTAGCCTTACACAGTCTCAGCAGCTTGAGTTGATGAATGTGCTTGAGACGGAGGGTATGGGGGACATTGATGCGTTCCTCAACGGGGGGAACATATCTAACAGGTGGTATTAAGGTTATTGCTGAATACAAGATAGGATAGAATGAATTTAGGCAACGGATTGGTTTCACAGGATATATAAGCATGGGCGGCGTTTCTTGGTTATAAAACATTAGACATTGTCTGCGGAAGGACGCTTGAATTATAGACCTGCTCCTGTTTCGAGTCTTGATTTATACTGTATGAAATGCATTGGCCATGAAAAGTCCCGCCCCGAGACCACTTAGTGAAGTACACGAAATATCATTTTTCAGATATCAATCAAATGGCGGCCAAGTAAACAGAGGGTTAGCAAAGGGTCGTTACAGCAGCATAGATTCTTTGTCATCTTCAAGGTTCCTCTTCTCTGGAGGACCAGCTTCACTTGCCCTGCTGACAGGCTTCTTGGTACGCTTCTTGCGCCGCGTGGTGCCAGTGACACGGGGTACTTTCTGCACCCACTGTCCAATAAGGCTAGCCCTCACACTGTAAAGGGGGTAGTCGTTGCTATCTTCGTCAGACCATCCCTTGAGACCTGAATTATTAGTAGATGTTGCATTGGATGAAGAGCCGTTGGCAGCAGCAGCGGCAGTTGCTGCACGTTCTCTCTCATCGCGCTTCTCTCTAGCCATCAGGGATGCACGGAACGTAGCATCGTCACAGACTCGTTCATCATTAAGGGCTTCGTAGACTCGCTGGTTGTGTTCCCGTTTGAGCTGACGCTCCTTGTCTGCCGGACTTGGTTCGGCTGGTCTAGCGTTGTCAGATCCACCATTGATCAGAGATGCGGCGGCGGCGGCAGCTTCCTTGCGAGTAGTACCGATGTGCATCTTTGAGACATTCTGGGGCAGGGTATCGTATAAGAACGGGAGGGGCGCAGGTATGCATAAGGTCTCCCAAGAGGCGCTGAGCTGTAGCCAGTTATCGTCGGCACGACGGAGAATTTCGACCCAGTCAGACCGAGCAGCAGAACGACTAGGTTGGAAGACCGGATAGCCATCGGCGATACGGATCAGCCTTGCCGCCATGTAGGTATGGCGTTCAAGCTCCTTGGTCGAAGTTTGGGCGAGGCAGTGGCAAAGGAGGAGGGAGTGAAGGGCGTCGGCCATAAGGGGGTGGTAGGTCGACCATTCGCATGTCTGGGGCACATCGAAAAGCGGTGTTTTGCCATTGGAGGTTGTCAACTCTTGGCTAGGATATGAAGGGAGGTCTGAAGGGGGGACGGCGGCGAAGAGTTCCGAAATGGCGTAAGTGGTATGTGGCTCGAGAGAGTATGTGGCCTCAGAAGGGCGAGGGTTGCGGGTGCCTTTTGCGGAGGAATTGACTCGATCATTAAAGTCCTTTGCGATGGAGGACGGTAAATTGGGGGAGTAGTCAAAATGTGACATAAAGGCGAGGAGATCTCGGATCGCCAATTTTGCGTACTTCTTGACAAGCTTCCGCGCTTCGGTCTGTTCACGGAGAGACTTTTCGTCAATCTCTGGCGACTTGCGGCCGCTGACTTCTGTATCAAAGGCCTCGCCTGGCCTGTGCGAATCGGCATGCCCACTCTGGCTCTGACTTGTTGGGATGCCATCTCCGATATGCTGGCATGCCACTGATAGATACGCCGCGCCACGAAGGAACAACAGCTGAGATTCCAAACTACTCGGTTGCTCTTTCTCAGATGGGACGATGTCCTGGCGCCATCGTCTACCCCGATGTGAATACTGGGACTCTAGTTCGTCGCCACTGAGTCGATGTGGCTGTTGATGTATTCGACACACTGCGAGAGCGGCCGTCAAGTCATGAGCCGCACCTTCATAATCCTCCTTGAAAGTTTTGACGATTGCACGCGTTCGGAGAGCTTCGCCCTCGTTGGGCCTCTCGGATATGATGTCTGTCAAAGGCTGAAGACTAGTTGACTCTGCCAACTGACGCGAGGGTATTTTCTCATGAAAGAAATGTACATATTTGGCATCTGGATCCTGTGGGTTACGCAACAGCACCATCGCCCCAATTTCGTCAATCGGTGATGCACCCTGCATTGTTGCAACGCTGCAAGCAATCTCATCCAGATGGTATGCACGGCTAAGCTTCTGGCTTGCCTGCTCCCTCATCCGAAACTTGCGCTCGCGGCTCAATCTTGTCCCGTGTCCTGGCCCCGTCATTCCCAACACAGACATAGGAGATGCGCCGGGTAGCCCACCATGGACGTTAGTCAACACGGGTGAGGCAATGTCACTAGCAGCTCTCACGGCGAGATTGGTGGCTTCGTCGACGAGACGGCGAATTTTCAGTAGGTCATAGAGGACGGCAGGGTCAATAGGACACGGCCGCGGGGTATTGTAGTTGATGTTGGCAATAGTTTCGAGGAGCTCGATAGGCATCTGGAGCCATGGACCGTGGAAAGCGGATATGTATCGCCAATGCCTAAGGTAAAGCGTCAACGGGGTAATCGAATGGATCGCAAATGGCCACCTTGCAAGAAAAATCAGCGGCGCATAACCAAACCTACTTATTCCGGCAAATATTAAGAGTCTGGAAAGAAGAAGATGAGGAAGAAGAATCATCCTTGGGCATCTTTGGTTTCTTCTTTTGACTGCCTCCGTTTGTATCCATAGTATTCGAGGTTTGTGGATGCGTTTGCGAAGCGTTGTCCAGGGTCGCATTCTGCCCCTCACCACCAGGAGTTTGGCTGCCTTTTTGCTTTGCCATTTTTTGTACCGAAATCGCGGCGTAGGCAAAGAGCGCGAGCAGATGCCTTGTGCGCTGGTACAAAATCTGGAGACCCTCGAACCGGCTTGATCGCAGACCGCAATGTGTAGATCGATAATGAATGGTGTATTCTGGTATCGAAGACGTGGGGTAAGTGTAAAGAATCTAGTTGCGACGGTTGCATGAGGGACGAGAGGAAAAGGCTAAAAAATTGCGACTATATTGATGTTGGCTGGGAGGAAGCTCTTGATAAGGATTTGTGGTCCAAAAACAATAAAATCGTCGGACTGCTATTGTGTTCGAGCGCAGGAAATCGTCATGTTTTTCTGTAGTACAGGAAGTAAGGTGGTTTGGATATGCAAATCACGTGAAGGCAGAGTGCTGCTGAGAAGGTGCTTCAACGATAAGCGAAGGGTAAAGGTAACCAGCAACGATCTGTAATGGAACCTGCCTTTACTTTTCAGATTGAGAATATGGACCTGATATCTCTTACAAGTGACTGTGCCAGTACTTGAATGCCATCATTGACCTGTGCCTTGTCTGATCGTCTTCTCTTTACAAGCTCCTGTTCCACGAATGTGTTGTCCCTAGCAAGAAAACGAAAGCCTGTACAAAGACGGAACGTCGCTACAATTTTGTGACTGTTGGATAATTGACGCAGCATGATCAAGATATGTTCATTACTCTCTCCCGGAAATATAAAATTATTAACGTGGGTAGACGAGGGAGTGATTAAGGTGTAGGTGACTATAGATATTCCCGTTGAGACCTATCCCCTGCGGCCTATGTAGGTAGGTCGACAGACACAAAAACCAAACAATCCCAATTCACACAAAACTCCCTCAATGCACACCGAACTCTTCAGCTGACTCCTTATGGAAATTCAGATAAGCATCAAGCTCTTTCAACACATACATCAATGCTCATAAACAAGGTCGCGCTCACTAAACTCCTTTTCGGATGTGAGATAGGGGAACTTCTCCCGTAGCGGTAAATCCTTTACTGTTCCGAGCAACCGTGGTATTGGTACGCTTTGTGTGATGAACTCGTTGGAAAGAAATGATATAAATGCCTGTATGTCTCGCTTCGTGGTCATGGGACCGAGACTCGCGCGAACGATTCTGTTCCTGTCAGTTGATAAATTTGATGAATCTGGTGAAACATACCCCGTTGGCTTATTATGTATAACTGCCATCTCGCTTGAACCACAGGCATGTCCGCTAGAGAAGATCCTGTCCCATTCCCAGTCCTCATAGTCTAAGGCTTTAGCGACACCACCAGGGCAGCAAACGCCTGAAGCATAGTCGTCAGCAGTGTTAACACGAATCCAGTTGATGCCCTTACCTCCTGCTCGTATATATACTCCAGCGCTATTGGCAAGCCTCTCTACCTCCGTCCAAGGGATATATGAACCATCTTCTCTCATAATGTTGAAGGCAAAAGTTGGCCCTTGAAGTGAAGGGTCGCCATACATGAATGGGCTATCAACATATAGCTCGATCAATGGGGATCCGTTTCGGTGTTTCAGGTCTACAAGGCGTTCATACAAGTAGCGAGCGAGATAACAGCAATGACGAGATATCATATCCTACGATCAACCGTCAGTTAATCTCAATACTAAAGTTGCATGGCAACTCACCATTGAGCCATAAAGCCTTAGGTGTGTATCAATGGCGACTCCAAGCGCCAAGATACTATGAAATGGCAGTGTGCCATCCTCGACACCTTCATGTATATCCCATATTTTGTGCAGATCCCCCAGCCCGGGAACTTTCTTCATAACCCGAGAGTCTTTTGAGGGGGATAGCTGAGCAATTGTTCCCCCACCAAAGTACCTCCTCATGTTCAGTATATGTCCAGATGCCCGCCTGACAACCAGTGCTCCCAAATCAGGGAAGCCAAATATCTTGTAAAACGAAAGACAAGTGAAATCGGGTGCATCCAGCGGATCGTGGAACAGGGAGCCGAGGGAGCTAGTCATAGCGAGAGCCGCAGCATCGAAAAGGGTATAGACATTTCGAAGCTGAGGGTGTTGTCGTATCCTTTTCGACCAGTCCTGTGGTAATCGGCGTCCACTAAGGTTGGACTGGCCTGGATATGCGAACAAGCCCAGACTGGTCGATTTTCCTCTTCGGGACTGGCAACTGAAAGGCCGCGAGATCCATTCTTCAACACTCTCATCGTCTTCGAAACAATGATAGTCCCCTGACGTAAGTGCGCGAACCCCGATAATACTCGTATGAGCTTCCTTATGGCATCCATACCAAAAGCTCTTGGTAGGGGTCTTCTCCCCGATGTCCCGAAACGCGTCAGCAACGAGCTTGATTGCAGCCGTAGCATTGGCGACGAAGACCAGGTCGAAATACTTTGGGTCAGCACCAACGAAATCAAGAGCTTTTGCACGGATATTATCAACCATATCACCCGACAACTTTGCCGGGAGATTCTCTGAGTGTGGATTGCCCCAGAGGTTACCAATCATTGCTTGGGAGAAGCCGGTTATAAGTGATCGCGCATATATGGTAGCTCCTCCATGATCAAGATAAGCCCCTGTAAGCAGGCGTCAGCGGATCTGGGGATGAAGAGCCAAGGAATGAAGCTGGCACACCTTGTGCCATGTTGGGATACTCGTATTCTCGGAAATCTTCGACCGATGAGTTGTATTCCATGTCCGGAGAACGTATATCTCGCTCTGAGCGATGTTCAAGTGCTGTATTTGTTTCTACCTGAGCACGTAGTCAGTCTCATTCCCAAGATAGACAGATTGGTGGCTCTAGATTACAAAGCTGACGTACCATGACTGAGGGGGCTATAGAGACAGTTGATGGGTTTGGGAAGGGAGAAAGACTTTCCCGAGTATTAACAGAAGATGAGACAGTCTCGGAAGATAAAACAAATGCTGATCGGTAAGAACCATCGAGATCGGTCGACAAGTACAGTACTTTAATTGACTTTGCAAGTAAGGAACCATGGTCAAGGGATATCCGGGGATAGTCACCACCTGGTTCACAGCCGCCACTCACCAACCAGAATCAATATATGACACAACTCTGATCAGATCAGCCCGGTTCCTCGGCTTGGCCTGCATCTGTATCTGCACGTCCAAGCTAGGGCAGTTTCTCTTTTTGACCCTTTCCATGTGATAGAACATTCCCGAAGTGAATACTAGTCAGCTACCCAAAGCCAAACCAAGGAAGCAATGCTGATTACAGTGACAAGGGTTTGCAGAGACTTCGGTCAAGAACTGCCTGATTTCTCAAAAGTTGAGAGCCTTGAACCTTGCTTGAATGTTGACTGATGCTTTTCATGTCGATGAGCCGAATAGCCTGTGTTCCAGCTGAAAGAAGAGATGGATGCAGCTAAACTCCTTAGGCTTGGCTGGTCAGCTCTAGTGATTCTTACGTGCGCTAGGGCCGGGCCTCGAGAACGATGATTTGGGGGCAGAGGTGCACTAAAATAGATGCAGGAAATCAATCCATGGTTGCTCGGCATCCACCCAAACGATGCGCGTAATCCTGGTCTCGATGTGAGCAGGGGTATAACAGAGTCCGGAATCTTCTACAGCAATCGACCGATACTGATACCACTACTCAACGAGGAAACAAGAAATAGTGCTTAAAATTGATGTTAATGCCTCACTTCTCACCCCGTTCTTATTAACCATGGTCTGTCGTTGTTGATTCCTGAAAGCCCTTGGCATATATTGATAACTTCGGTGGAATGGTACAGCTACAATGAATCTGATAACAGTTGGGGAAAGTTCTTGGAGGCTTTTACAAAGGTCCCTATTCGACTACTAATGGGATGGAATGAAAGCCTCCGAGACCTCCATTTAAGAACTGGATCAGCACTTCTTGCAGGTACCTTGAGCTCTATTAAACTGACATCCACAAGGTCCAACGGCCAATTCAATAGGCCAGTGACAACGGGCACATCTGCGCCGTACACTACCGGTTACCAATCTGATACCGATAACCGCTGATTTGCATTAATTTTCACCTAAACATGTACCACAGCCGAAAGACAGGTTTCAAATAAGATTCTTTTTTCATGATATCTGCTTGTCAACAAACTAGAATACCCTGCAGCTCCTATCAATCAAGCTTTGTTCAGGGGAACAACAATCTGCTTCCAGACAAGACAGAAACTTTTGGTTTTCTCAACGAACTGAACTGAAATCGCCACTCGCATTAAATACAGTTTCACCATTCACTCCCCTCACATCGCAAGAATGAGAGCAAAAACACCAGCCAGGGCAAGGTTGATCGGGAGCGTAGCAGACGAGGCACCGTTGGGACTAACAACGCTAGTCTCAGTAGAAATAGGCTTGCCGCCAGTGCTTGTGCTTGATGGAGTAGGAGTGTTCGTCTCAGGGTTGACAGTCTCAGTCGGAGTAGGGAGGTAAGCCGGGGCAGTGTAGTTCGGGTTCATAACACCCGGGTTCAGGTTCACAAAGTTGGCGCATGTTAGACGGGTCTTGTTGGCATAATGAAGAACAAAGGACCGGTTGCCAAAGTAGGCCCCGATGCCTTCCTTGGTGGAGGCATAGTAGTCGATGTAGTCGGCTGTGAAGGGGTCGCTGGTGATCTTTCCATGCTTTCCACTGTTGTCTCCAACCTGACAAGACGCAGGTTTCTCAGGGTCACAGGGAGGCTCCTCGCCACGAGCGAAAGGGTCGAGATGGGCGAGGGTGGCGGTACAGTTGCCATTCTCGGGAACAGGTTCAACATGGATGTGGTATGCTATGGCAAGGTCAGCTACAGTCTGGTTGAGCGATAGTCGAACAATTACTGAAGGGACCTCCCTCCTTGGGAAGGTTGCTGAACTGGACCTTGAACTGGACGCCGTGTCCATCACTCGGAGCTTCAGCCTGGATAAACCCCTTGACGTTGCCGTCGATTGCGGTATCTTTGAAGAAAGGCTCCTTGGGAAGGGTAGCCTTGTATTTGACACCAATAGGGTTGTCGTTAACTCTGGGAGCATCGTGAGAGTCATCCTGACCAATGACCTGTCCGGCAAGCGCCGAGAACAGGACGGCCACGATAGCTTGAGTGCGCATTTTGAGTGAGATTGTAAAGCTGTGTATGCAATCTTTGTTGTGTAGGTAGGCGATGCTGTGTGTAAGGCAAGCAGGTGCGACTAAAGACCTTGGAGGCGAAGTAAAGGTAGGATCTCGATATTAAAAGAATACGAGCGAGTGAAATGACCACTAGGGCCCGACAGAATTATTTAGGTGCTGAGGCTTGCTCAAAAGTGAATCAACGGATCCAGTCTTACGTTGTGATGAGATGGTGAACAGCGACAGTGACAATGACAGTGGCAGTGGCAGCCGAAGCTATATATAGCGTGGGCGCTGAAGCTTGCCAAGAGCGTCATCACTAGGTGATAATCCTAGAGGATAAATGAACCTGGATTGGTCTCTCAGTACAAGCCGCATAAACGAGGAAATGCTAAAGTCCCCAATCCGTGTTGGGCAAAGCCTGGCTAGCCTGGTCTGAATTTGTGCAGCAAGCAGCAACCAAAAAGAGGCTCTTTGCCTCTTCCCAACGAATGAATCGCCTAGCAGATAACGCGGGGGAGAGAGACGATCCATTCTAGGCCCGGTAGCAAGCAATAGTCTCCCTGTGCCGAGATATCTGCCCAACGATTGGTGGCCACAGGGGACAGCCCGTATTCACGAGCGACGTGGCTTAGGCTTTGCTTGTTTCAACGGACACGGCGCCATGCGTTTGTTCACCTTTTGATTCAACGGCTATGACGGCCAAGCACAGCATGGGGCATCAGCGGACAGCGTAAAAGTCCTTTGAAAGCTCTTCGGCACACGGAACCCCGTGTTTGCCAGGAGGGTGCATCGCTGACAGGCGACAGACAGCCAACAAGCAACAAGGGAGGGCTGCGTAACCTCACACGGCGTCTAAAGGCAACATCCATCTTACTGAGTCCTGGCTTAGGATCTTGCTGCTTGTGTCGCTGTTGCACAACAAGCAAAGCGTGTGCGTAATGATGGCATCACAAATTTCCTTTTAATGAGATGCTCTCAACTTCCGAGCCTTGGTATTGCCTCATTGGGGCCACTCATCTAAAGTCACTGACAAAGGCCGTCATCTGACGGAATGGAGCCCTCCGTGGTAGCTCTCTTGATCAGTAGTCTGGCGATCATAAAGATGGCGCTTACATGTTTTGTCTTGTTTTGTTTCGTTTCGTTTCGTGTTGAGCTCTGGGGTAGAGGTGTGCCTGAAGCTATTGGAGTGTGAAGCACAGAGCTTAAATGCCAAGGTCGCTCAAGACACCAATACATTTCTCAGAGGCTTAACCTCTTTGGTAGGCTCCAATGTTAGTATACACCATCCAATGCTTACCACCTGCATTGCCACAAGACAGTTCAGTTAACCTCCGAGATCAAGAACAACAGAGAAATATTTACGCAGTTTTAGTGGTTATGGCTAAACCACACACCTTGTTGGTTGGATCTTGGGTTTTAGAACTATTCAAACTGCACGCCGTGATTGTGGTTGCCTCTCGTCAGCCAAGATAATAGCTCAATTTCAATGTTACACTTCTGAACCCGAATTCCGGCTTGAGGAAGATCAGTCAACTATTCTTTCGGATCTTCACACTTGACCATCCGTGTAAGTAAGCATCTTAGAGGTAAACATTGATTTATTTTGGTCAGCACTGTTTGCTCAACTGCGTACCTACCCAGCATCAGAACAAATTAGAGAAAAACCAACATAGAACAAGCACAGAGACATGCATCTTACACTATAATAATACCTAAATAAGGGACGCACCGGAAATCTCAAGGTGTGTGCCCTGCGCGCCTAGCCCCTCTGGGCCTGTCAAGATCTACAGTAGCTGGTAGTGGCGCATACAACATGTGGCGGTGCTTGGTAGTGGCTCTTTCTCCAGCCTTGTTGCTGAGGCAGGAAAGGAGCTAAACGGCGACACATTGACGCATTACCGACCAACAGCAACGAAGCTATAGCTACTACCAAGTATCAACGTCGCAAACAACATTCCATCACCACCACACTCATCGCGATACATCGATTGGTCAACCATACTCGAGCTCTTTCCACATACACCCATAATGAAGCCCGTCGTCAGCGCCTTTAACGCGTGGTCATGGTTCGCCAATTCCTTTGAACTGCCTTGACTTTATCATGATGAAGCTAACATGAAACTTGCAGCACCGTTCTCTCTGTTTTCGCCATTGTCATCCTCAGCGCCCTCGCAGGTCTCTACCGAAGCAACCATGAAGAATTCACGGGTGGCGTAGATGATCCCGAAGATGGGAAGGCAGTCTCAGACACCATCTTCGTCGCTGTCCTCGTCTACGTTGTACGTCCTTTCACGATCAAACAGATTGGCCATCCATGGCCCGAACCCAATCTCGCATCTTTGCTGACAGCAATAGGCTTTCTTCGTCTTTTGTGGCTTCCAAGGATTCCTCCATACTCGAGAAAGCCGTCGAGGCGCGATCGCTCTGTAACAATACTACCGATCGGCGAGCAGAGCACGACACGGAACCTGGCGTCCTGGGAATCTTTATTGATTTGAGTTTAGAATGGCATTGTATTTGAAAGACGAGCATTATAGTTGTATGGGCAAAAGAGAAGATCACCATGAGATGATGATCAAGACGACGCGTATACTGTCTATAGGCACGCTATGTACGAATATTCTTTGGCTTAGACGGTTTATTCAGTTTTGCTTCCTACTACTTATCTTGTAGTAACCTGCTGTCTTGTGAGGCTCAAGTCATTTAACTATGTTGAATGACCCGGCCAGCGGTAGCTACACATGTTCAAGCTTGGCTGTTGTAGCTATGTTCGATTGGCCACCTTTCCGGTATCTCTCAACTGAGAGTGTCAATCCGTAAGTGCGCGGATGGGAAGGGAAATGGATGCTCCGCGATGCATCCTTACTACGCACAACAATGGGATTCAGGCCTGGACATCATGATTAGGCGACGGGCCGGCACAGTGGGGCCGCTCTGGACAGTGCCGAACGGATGAAAGCCGTCCGGAAGTCCCATTGTTTGCAACTTTGTACGTCACAGCAATCTCATCGACGTTGGGTTGCTGAACAAGGCGCCGCACATATGTGCCCCTCTTTTCAGCAACAAGGTCGTCATATACGCGAAAAGATAGCGAAAGGGTCATAATCATCGGGCCAGCTTCCGCCGTCATACAGCGTACGATCATGACGATTGGCCGATAGCTCGATAGCTCGATCTTCTGTCAACTGATAGAGGAGCTCTCACATGACGAAGAGCCAAACGCCAGATTAAAGAAAGAGCTGTCAGCATGGATGTCCATTCATGCTTGGCTGGCCCCGTTAATGTGACGAAGAAATGTTCAACCCTGACTGTAGTGTCGTCATCGATCGATCTTCATCATGATTCGGATTGAATGCTCCGTGTGTTCTTGTACGATGAGTATTAAAAAGAGGAGGCCCTTCCGAGTAATTCAGAAAGAATTTTCAATTCCCTCAAGCCCGAGAAGTTAATTGCACAATTGACTATAATCCAGCTACTAAGATGACGACTCAAAACTTCAAGAATGGTGAATTCTCCCTCACCACTCTCTACAATTCAACGACATAGCAGCTGACCAAGAATTAGAGAAGGATATTCCCGTTTCTCACCAGGACTTCCCTGGCACTGAGAGGCAGATGCCCAACCCCAAAGCCACTCGTGACGAGTTACCTGAGGCCGGCGGCAATTCGAGGACATACCAAGGCTCTGGAAAGCTCAAAGGCAAAAAAGCACTGATCACTGGAGGCGACAGTGGCATTGGTGCTGCTTCTGCTCTTCTGTTCGGCCGAGAGGGCGTTTCGGATATTGTCATCGCCTATTTACCAGAGGAGGAGAAGGATGCCCAGGACACCAAAAAGCAGGTCGAGAACGAGGGTGCCAAGGTTCATCTTATCTCTCTTGACCTCTCGAAGCAAGAGAACTGCAAGAAACTTGTTGACTTTGCCGTGGAGAAAATGAACGGAATTGACATTCTATTCAACAATGCAGCTTGTAAGTGTACCTGACAGTATCGAGCATATCGAGCAAGTCTGACAATCGATCTAGACCAGATGATGGTCCAGGATATTAAAGACCTTCCCGAGGAGCAATGGATTCATACTTTCAACATCAACATCCACTCCTTCTTCTATATCTCCAAATATGCCCTCCCTCACATGAAGACCGGAGCAACGATTATCAACAATGCTTCCATCAACGCCTACATCGGTCGCCCTGACCTCCTCGATTACACATCCACAAAGGGTGCGATCGTTTCATTCACACGAGGTCTCAGCAATCAATATGTCAGTAAGGGCATTCGTGTAAATGCTGTCGCTCCTGGACCCGGTATGTTAAGCTGATCTCACCAATGTGTAATACGACTAACAATACATAGTTTGGACACCTCTCATCCCCGCCACAATGGATGACGAAGCGCAGAAGCAGTTCACAAGCCCCATGGGACGACCTGCTCAGCCATCAGAGATTGCTACATGCGTGGTGTTCCTGGCGTCGAGTGATAGCTCGTGTGTTAGTGGACAGACCATCCACTGCAATGGCGGTACCGTTGTCAATGGTTAAAATGGGGAGAAAACAGAATGACTGAGTAATGACAATAATGAAATTAATCTAAGATTAAATATTGCACCTTTGGTTCCGTCGCCCGAAAGGTGTTGGAGTGCACGGTGCGGGGTTTGGATAAGATTCCACTGTATCTAGTCCCTTTGTGATGACTTCCCTCGTCAATCCCAATTCCACCTTGTGAATAACCTTTTGACAATGAATATTGTTCAAATTTCAACTTCTTATTGATCCTCTGACACTCTCACATCTTATGGATTTGTTGTTCGGGGTTTATTTCCACTTGTCCTCATCACTGCCAACAACCTGGAGCCTTCAAGCTCAAGAGCTGACATGAGATGAACAACTCAAGATAATCACCGGTTTAGGTCAAAGATACAGCTCAGCATGAGACTCATAAACACACATACTCTTCAGCTTGAGTTTTATCCTGGCGGATCACGTCGGTATGCCATCCTATCCCACGTCTGGGGTGATGATGAGGTCACTTTCCAAGATGTTGCTTCTGGTGATCCCGAGGAAGCGCTTCATCTTGAACGTTATAGTAAGCTACGCGAGAGCTGTAGCATGGCACGCTCTTTTAAGTTGGACTATTTATGGATAGATACTTGCTGTATCGATAAAAGTAGCAGTGCCGAGCTTTCGGAAGCCATCAACTCGATGTTTCGTTGGTATGCTGAGTCAACCATCTGTATCGCCTTTCTTGAAGACGTTCCCTCCTCAGAATCTGAAGAGGAATGGAGAAAGATATTTGTAAACAGCCGTTGGTTTACCAGAGGCTGGACACTTCAAGAGCTCATCGCACCGGGAAAGGTCATCTTTTACGGACGAGACTGGCAGCGGCTGGGTAGCAGAGCTGAGCTCAAAGAAGACATAAAGAGTGCCACTGGGATCAATTACGAGCTTCTCGATGCAACACATCATATGGCGGAGATCAGGCAAAGTCAGCTTGGTGAGTTTTCTGTCGCTCAGAAGATGTTATGGGCTGCTGGGCGTGAAACAACGAGGCCAGAAGACATCGCTTATTGCCTGCTGGGTATATTCGATATCAACATGCCTTTGCTATACGGGGAAGGTCAAGTCAAAGCTTTCAAGCGGTTACAAGAGGAGATTCTTAAATCTACCGATGATGAGTCTATTTTTGCTTGGCGGCAGCCTCGATATCGGGTCGAAGGAAAAACGTATTGGAGCCTTCTTGCAAACAGCCCTTCCGCTTTCGATCTCGGCCAAACCTCAAAAGATCTCAATGGCATGGTGCCTCAGAGATCCAAGTACCTATCTCTTAGGTCTGGAATTTCAATGTCTATGACAAACCGTGGCCTGGATTTAGAGCTTCCATTAACACCGTTCCCAATTGATACATCAGGGACCATTTTCTTGGCCTTCTTGAACTGCGAGTTTCGAAGGGGCCAGACATCCATCAACCCGGCTATCCTCCTTCAGAGGGCAGCGTGGGACAGAAACTCACATTTTGTGCGAATTCGACCAGACATATTAGCGTTGTCCATGATGAACAGCATTATTCTTCCTGATGAACTCTTGAACATGATACGGAGTGGTCAAAACGATGTTTTGCAAGAGGCCATTCCGCGACAGATCTTCGTGCCACATAGTACTCCGGACCTACGATATTTGAAGGGTGTGATATTTCGCCCGGAGATAAAGGGTCTTGCAAAGGAGAGTAAGATGGTTGTCAGAGTGCGCTCACGATCACCAACGTGGCAATATTTTGTTGACGCTCGAAGTGGTCCCTCGACCACGCCGGAATCATATGAGATCAACTTTGACCTGGCACCTGGTCCTTCGCTTGGATCATTACAAGCATCCATCGTTCTGGGAGTGTTGGAGCTTGACCTAGGCAGTTCAGATTCCACGCAGTGCTTGGTCATGGGATTAGAGCCCTTGCCCCCAAACCCGTTTCAAACGATGCCTCTTTACTTCTCACCGTGGTACGCATTTGAAGAACATACTTGGATTGCAAATCAGGACTTTTCAAGAGTTTTGGACAAAACACAGCGAAGGCTGGAGTGGAGAGTTCCAGATATCGTGACGGCGAAAATTGGAATTGAGAGCAGGTATTCGAGTCTATTCTATAGTTTGACTTTGGAGATTGAGAACAGCCGGAAAGTCAATACATGGTTTTGAGGACATGGACAGACTTGATTCGGGGTTTCGCTTCTTACTACTATACAGGGACATCTGTCATTTCCAGCTTGGTATGAATTGCTTCTGGCATCTCGAACGGCCTCTCCTTGAATATCAGAGCCATGCTCAGCAGTTCTTCGTCGGTGATGCTTGGCCGCTCATCGATCACTCTCTTTAGCTCACGTGCCTTATCCGTGACATCCTCAATCTCAACAATCCATTCATTCGCCCACTGCTCACTCAAAGCTCCTGGAATGCCAATCTGAATACTCCTATACGGCAGTACCTCTAGCTTCGCTGTCCTCTCAGGATCCCACTGAATTCTCACATCAACCGTCTTCTCACGCTTCTCGCCAGGGTTGAGCTTATGAGTGTGGTTAGATAGCACACCTCGCTCAAGGAGGGCGATGAAGTGCTCGTGTTTCATTCGCAAAGCCAAGATGCGGGATTGGCCAGGGTCTTTGTAAGAATATCCGGCGCGGTACATCATCCATGCCCAACTAGGCTTGATCCATGTCATTCGACCTGATTTAAAATCTGGGGATGCATTGAGCTTCTGCGCATCTACAGCAGCTTTAGCAATGGATTCTTTGTAAGCTTGGTACACTGTTATAGTGGTGTCATCGTAACAGGCACGAACTTGGCGGTAGGGAGCGACTGAAAGTGCTGTTGGCATTATGGAGAAGTCGGTTCAGGTCGATGGCGTCTGCTTTGAGGATGACAAGACATTCTATGGTGGCCACTTGAGCCATCAAAGACCCTTGGCTTTATATATGTATAACATGCTGCCTACGCCTACGCCAACGCCTTTAGTCTGGTGACTCCTTCGGCGAGAGGATTGGTGGTGGTGGCTCAGCTTTCAGCTGATGTTAATGGTCTCCAAGCACTATAATTGACTAGAGTAACTGAAATTTCTATTACATTCTTCAGGCTGGAATGGCCGAGTGGTCTAAGGCGGTGGTTTTAAGTTAATTCATTTAACACCACTCTCGAAAGAGGCGGGAGTTCAAACCTCCCTTCCAGCAAATTCACTTTTGCCTATTTTTACTCCTAGGAGTGCATCTTACCTTTCTGCCTCTGATTTGGTTCTTGTCTTTTTCATTCTTGTTGAGATTACTTGGTATAGTCTTCGGCAGTTCTGGGCGATCGCCGGATGGCAGCTTGCCCGAAGGATTTGGAACTTACACTGAAGCATATCCCCTGGAACTATCGCGACGTCACAGGTACGCCCCCCTGTAGACACACTGTAACCGCAGCCAAGCTCCCCAAAGAAGTGCCTAATTGCCCCACTTCATGAAGCAGCTCCAAACAAGTGCGCGCCTGACCAAAAGCTGAGGCACTGGTTGCTAGAAGGAAGCCTAGCTTGGAAGATGGAGAATGAGGGGTCCTGCCATGTGCTCCATCCAGCTTGCTGTAGTTACGCTTCGGCTCTAACTACCTTACCTAGAGGCATCCATCCATTGTTGAACTCCAAGTATTCGAAGACGCTGACCCGACAACATCGCCAAACAACAATCTTTTTGTGGCAGTTGATCACCTGCGAAGCGACCTGTTATCGACAAGCCCTAACCTTTATTGATCTTATCGACGTCGACGACCACCGCTCTACGAAGACCCACGATACAGCTTTACCTTCCGCCTCGTAGAGCAACGAATGGGCACCATCTTGTCTTACACAAGTCGACCTTTCGCCTTGGACCCGATTTTCCATAACAGCTACCTCGCCGTCGAACCTTCAGAAGCTTTGCATGTCTCCGCCGGAGCAGTCCACAACTTCATCAAGCCAGCCGGTCTTAGACGAGACGCTGTCTAACAAATCCAATGTCGAGTTGATGTCTGCTCAGGACCCTGTGGCAGGGGCGCCTCAAACCTCCCATAATCATAGTCATGGATCGAGCTCCAGGGACAAAGCCGGAAAGGAGGACAGTTTGATCGATCTCGGTGATCAGGCAGCTGACGTTCCAGCACACGAACATAAGGCTGATGCTGATGAGCAAGGTCCCTCAGGAAAGCTCAAGGAAAAGCAAGCCGCCGATGATTATCAAGCCCCTAGCGGCTACTTGAACACCCATGCCTCAACAGCAGGCAAAATCAAACCTATTGCACTACCCTCGTCGAACGATGCTACTACACAATACCTCACCGCCGAACCATCCACTTATGTTGACCCCACGCCTGCGACCCCAATAACCTCTCAGCCACCTTCGCGGACCCCTTCAAATGCTGCGCGTTCCCATGTCTCTGGAGACTCTACCCCTCCCAAATCAGACGCAGAGTTTGATGAGAGACGATATGTAAGTGAAGATGAGCACGAAGGCGCTTCACAGTCCGAAATTCAGAGCATCATGGAGCAGTTTAGCGAGTTTGGCGGTGGTCCCGGCGAAGAAGAAGTCATGAGTCCCAGACTGGAGATTGCCTCGCCGATGTTGGGCCATCCTGTTCAACATCCTCCTCGAAAGTCTAGTCTGGAACCTCTTGTGCCTACACTCTCTGGTCAGATGCAGGGCCTACACATCTCCACGAGTTCCCCTCCAGCTGAGACCTCCAACAACACTGGTGTCGAGGATCTGGGGCCACCTGTCCCACCCAAGGATGGTGTTCATGGAACACCTCCACGTCCTAAGATAGAGCGGAACATGAGTGTTGCTTCTCCAAGCTCGCCAGCGCAATCGCACCGGCCTCCTCCTCCTGAGCCAGAGCCTGAGCCCACTCAACCATTTGATTTCCACCGGTTTCTTGAGCAATTGCGAAACAAGAAGGCAGATCCTGTGGCAAGGTACCTCAAGTCTTTCCTCTCAGAGTTTGGCAAGCGGCAATGGATGGTGCATGAGCAAGTCAAGATTATAGGGGATTTCCTAGCCTTTATTGCCAACAAGATGGCACAATGCGAGGTCTGGAGGGATGTATCCGACGCGGAGTTCGATAATGCTCGTGAGGGGATGGAAAAGCTGGTCATGAACAGACTGTATACTCAGACGTTTTCGCCTGCAATCCAAGCGCCCAAACCGATCCCTGGGGCGAAGCCGAAGCGCAAGGGCGGCGATATACCTCTTGGCCCCGGTAGGCGAGGTCAACACCAAGAGGATGTTGAGAGAGATGATATTGTTAGACAGAAGATGAGCATTTATGGCTGGGTGAGGGAAGAGCATTTGGACATTCCGCCGGTCGGCGATAGTGGACGCCGGTTTTTGAAACTAGCCCAGCAAGGTCAGTTCAAGATCACAGACTGTCGGTATTTACTAACTTGATCCAGAGCTGCTTAAAATAAAATCCTACAGAGCACCGCGAGACAAGATCATTTGTGTGTTGAACTGTTGCAAGGTGATCTTTGGTAAGACAGCTGAAAATTTACAGTTGCACAGTCATATTGACAACTGACAGGTTTATTAAAACATAACAAGTCTGATTCCTCAGCTGACTCCTTCATGCCCCTACTTATCTATGTTGTACTGCAATCAAACCCAGAGCACCTAGTGTCTAATGTGCAATACATCTTGCGCTTCAGGAACCAGGAAAAGCTCGGAGGTGAAGCAGGCTACTACTTGTCCTCGTTGGTATGTTAGTTTGCTCTGGAAGTAGTCACAGCCTAACATATTATAGATGGGTGCTGTTCAATTCATTGAAAATATGGATAGAACTACTCTAACGATTACTGATGAGGAGTTTGAGAAGCATGTGGAAGAGGCCGTCTCAGCAATTGCTGAAAAGCATGCTCAATCACCTCCAGCCACCCAACAGCCAGTATTCAACGAGAAGTCTGGGCCTCTTCCCGGAGAAACTTCTGCTCGTCCTTCTCTTGACGGGCCACGCACTTCAACTTCGAATGACGAGTATACGGGTGAAGAGAAAGCTGCCATCACTGGTCTCCTCAAGACTATACAAAAACCTCTTTCCAGCATTGGGAGAATGTTCTCTGATGATCCTGGCCCTTCCATGGATCCCGGGCCCAGTAGTGCGCCTCGGACACCAGCGCCACCGGAGCGTCTCAGCCGTGAGGAGCCTCGCGAACATCAACAAGTACCTTCAAAACATGCATTATCTGCTGAGGAGGCTGCCGCACGGCAGGCGAGCGCTGAAGCAGCCGAGGCTCAGCGACTTTCCCGTGCGGAGCATGCAAATGTTGTCGAAACATTAGCAGGTATGTTCCCGGACTTGGACAAGGATGTTATAAGTGATGTTGTTTATGAGAAGGAGGGCAGGTAAGTGATACTCAAATCGATGTCTTTTGGGCTGAAGCTGACGTGTTTCTACAGGGTCGGCCTGGCTGTTGATGCGTGTCTCGCTCTTTCAACATAATGCATCTGGGGGGCAAGATAATTGTTGGAGCTAAGAAGCTGCCTATGCTCCTTTTAATTGGCCTTGAAGCATCGCGGTGCGATTTCAGGTTATGACAACCGCCATGGTTTCCACTGGCAGCAGGATAGAACAGAAATATCATCATTTTTTTTTTCAATGAGGTCTGGTGTCCCACCGCGTGCCGTTACAGATGTCGATAATCTCGCTGAGCTTAAAAGGATCAGCACCAAGCGTTATGCATACCACGTTGCAGCCGCAGTGACACCTTATCTGAGATCTTGTCGATCACATTTCCAAGCATCCGACAAACTCAATATTCCTGGTAGAATTTCGGTGCCTTGTAAGATCTGCACGAATAGTTCCTGTACTCCGTACCAGAGCGAAGTCACCTAATTCAGGCTTTTACTTCGTTTACATTTCGAAAAGGCCTTACCAATGAGTTCTTTTTGAGCTCGTTGGTTGCATTCTATGAAACAATTGCTTGTCTATGCAGCTCATTATCTGATAGGCTCAAATGCCCGCCTTTTCCAGTCCAAACGACCCTTCATCCCAGCATGGCAGAACGCACGGCCTAATATTAACGACATTGACTCGGGCCGTATCAACTTCTCACGTACAACTTAGGTGATCCTTGCATTTGAGTCATATCATCGATTCACTGAACCTCCAACGCTTATAAGAAGATAGATCCCCTCGAAGCCTCT